AAATTCTAGATATTAATTTTATGTGCTGCTACTTTGTTGAATTCATTTATCAGTTCTAGTAGTTTCTTGGTGAAATCTTTGGGGTTCTCTACGTACAGTATCATGTCATCTGCAAATAAATACAGTTTTACTTCTTTCTTTCTAGTTTGGATGCCTTTTATTTCTTCTTCTTGTCTGGTTGCCATGGCTAGGACTTCCAGTACTATGTCAAATAAGAGACGTGAAAGGAGACATCTCTGTCTTGTTCCTGACCTTAACAGAAGCACTCATAGTATTTGCCCACTGAGTAGCTCCTCAGTCAAGGGAAACAAAAGAAAAATTAACAAATGGGACCATATCAAACTAAAAAGTTTTTGCATGGCAAAAGAGAACATTAACAAATTAAAAGACAACCTATAGGATGGGAGAACATATTCACCTATATATCTGGTAAGAGGCTAATAGCCAAAATTTATGAAGAACCTATAAAGCTCAACACCAAAAACCCCCACAAACAACCTAATTAAAAAATGGTCAAAGGACCTAATATAGACACTTCTCCAAAGTGGACATAAGATGGCCAATAGTCACATGAAAAGATGCTGAATACCACTAATCAATAGAGATATGCAAATTAAAGCCATGATGAATACCTGTCAGAATGGCTATCATCAATAAATCAACAAACAAGTGCTGTGGAGGATGTGGAGTAAGGGGAACCCTTTCATGCTGTTGGTGGGAATGCACATCGATGGAGCCACTGTAAAAAGCATTATGGGGATACCTCAAAAAATTTAAAATGGATCTGCCTTTTGACCCAGCAATCCCACTTCTGAGAATACCAGGGTATACCCAAAGGAAACCAAAATAATAATTCAAAAGAACATAAGCACACCTATGGTCATTGCAGCATTATTTACAATCATCAAGATATGACAGCAACCCAAATGTCCATCAATAGATGAGTGGATAAAATACCTTTCAGACATTTACACAGAGGAATATTACTTGGCCATAAAAAAGAAAAAAATTACCCTATGTGACAGGATGGGTGGATCCAGAGAACATTATGCTAAGTGAAATAAGCCAGTCAGAGAAAGACAAATACCATATGATTACACTCATACATGGAATCTAATGAACAAACTCAATTAACATGCAAAATAGAGACAGATTCATAGAGAATAGGATGACAGGTAAGGTGGGGGGTGGTAGGGAATGGAGAGATTGAGTGATATGGAAAAAGGATTCATGGACATGGACAACAGTGTGGGGATTGTGGCAGGGAAGGTGTATAAGGGGACTAAATGGTAATGGAAAAAATACATTTTTAAAAAGAAAATTACTAAGGCGGATATAGAGCTATTCAAGTTATCTTTTTCTTTTTTGGCAGTTGTATTTCAAGGAATTTGTCCAATTCTTTTATTTATTGACATAAAAGTGTTCTTAATATCCTTATTATTTAACTGTCAGCTGAATCTGTAATCATCATTACAGATTACACCTCTTTAATTCTCAGTATTGGTAGTTTGTCTGTCTCTTCTTTTCCTATTCTGCCTGGATAGAGAGTTTTTATCAATTATATTGATTTTTTTCAAAGAACCAAATTTTGGTTTTATTTTTTGTTTTTTAAATCATATCTTATTGTTATTCTCTTATGGTTGTCCCAATTTTTACCCCTTTCTCCTCCTCCACCCATCCCACTCCTTACTGCCACACTGTTGTCCATGTCCATGGGTCATTCAGCACTTGTTTCGTCCATGTCCAAGTGTTTTCAGCACTTGGCTATTGTAAATAGCACTGCTATAAACATAGGGGTGCATAAGTTCTTTTGAATTGGTATTTCAGGATTCTTGGGGTATACTCCCAGCAGCAGAATCACTGGGCCAAAAGGCAGTTCCACTTTTAGTTTTTTGAGGAAGTTACATATTGTTTTCCACAGTGGCTGTACCAGTCTGCATTCCCACCAACAGTGTACTGGGGTTCCCTTTTCTCTGCCTCTTTGTCAGCACTTGTTTTTTGTTCATTTATTAATGATGGCCATTCTGACAGTTATGAGGTGATACCTCATTATGGTTTTAATTTGAATCTCTCTAATGGCCAGTGATGTGGACCATCTGTATGTCCTCCTTGGAGAAATATCTGTTCAGGCCCTTTGCCCACTTTTTGATTGGTTTGTTTGTCTTCCTGTTGAGTCATATGAGCTCTTTATATATTTTGGAGATCAAACCCTTGTCCCATGTGTCACTGGCAAATACGTTCTACTATGCAGTCTATTCCCTTTTCATTTTGCTGATGGTTTCTTTAACCATACAGAAGCTTTTTAGTTGATGTAGTCCCATTTGTTTATTTTTCCCTTCATTTCCCACGTCCTAAGGAAATATATTAGCAAAAATATCTCTGTGTGGGATATCTTAAATTTTCCTGCCTATGTATTCCTCTAGGACTTTTACGGTGTCCCTACTTATATTTAAGTCCTTTATCCCTTTTGAAGTTATTCTGGTGCAGGTGTAAGTTGGTGGTCTAGTTTCGTTTTTTCGAATATACCATCCAGTTCTCCCAACACCATTTATTGAAGAGGCTATCTTTACCTCCTTGTACACTCCTGCTCCCTTTGTCAAATATTAATTGACCACAGAGACTTGGGTTTATCTCTGGGTTCTCTATTGTGTTCCATTGATTTCTGTGCCTGTTCCTATGCTAGTATTGGACTCATTTATTTCTTTTTCTTCTCTTTCATTTAATTTTTGTCTACTCATTATTTCCTTTATTTATTTTGTTGTTTTTTTCTAGTTTCTTTAGAAGTTTAAATTATTGAGTTTTTTCCCTCTATTGTAAGCAGTTAATATTATAAATTTTAATGTTTTTTCATTTAATTCAAAATATTTTCTAACTTTCATAGTGACTTTTTGATTCAATTAGAAATGTTGCTTAATTTCCATATATTTAGAATTTTTACAGATATCTTTCTATTATTTATTTCTAGTTTAATTACATTGTGGTCAGACAATATACCTTGTATGGTTTTAATCCTTTCAGAGTTGATGAAATTTGTTTTATTATACAGATTACAGCTTTTTTTAGTGAATGTTCCATGAGCACTTGTGAAGAGTTAGTGTATTCTACCACTGGGTTGAGTCACCTATAAATGTCAGGTAAGTTGGTTGGTAGTGCTGTTCAAGTCTTCCATATCTATAATAATTTTCTGTGTACTTGTTACACCAATTACAGAAAGGAATGTTGAAGTCTTTAATCATTACTATTACTTTTGGTATTTCCAAGTAATCATATTTTTAACTGTATGTTGAAGCTCTATTACTAGATTTACAGTTAGTATTATGTCGTCTTGATATAACCGATCCCTTTCTATCAGAGTCACACTCTAGCCTTCTTTTGCCTTGACTCTAACCCAAGGAGGCTGAACTTTGTAGATTACACCCTTGCCTTCTATTTTTAGTTTAATTTTGGCCAATGAGAGATACCAGGGGGAGTTTGGCATGTGCAAGCAAAGAGGTTTGGGAACTTAATCCTTTCAATACCTCCCTGCTGGTTTGCAGGTTGGCAGGGACTGTTTATGAAGGCACCATAGGTGTCTATCACCTTCATGGTTGTTTCTCACAGCAGTTGTCTCCTTAGGTTCTGGTAATCCCTTACCTGTGGGTGATAAGGGTTTTCTGATTAGTTCTGGTTACTTCGGCATCACGTGCTGTTTTTGGTAACCCTGTCCGTACCTTTGTAAATGACCCTTTCATTAAGCTACCTTCGGCCACCTTTCTTGAGCCATAGATGGGGATTCTTACTGATCTAACTTGTGTTTTAGTACTTTCTTATTTAAAGAGAACTTATTTGGTTCTTTTTATTCCACTCACTTGTTCAACCAAGTTTATCACTCAACATCAGGCACTTGAAAAAAGAAAAAAAAAAGGATCTATCTGGGTGTTGTTAATACAGGAAGAAGTAACAATGACTACCTTGACCCAGTTCTCAAACTCAGTGCCAGGGTCCAAAATTCTCACACCTAGGCACTACTTCCTAGGCATTGCTGTAGATCACACTATGTATCCTGCTAGAGACTCTGCATGGCCATAAACAAGCTGGAGCTGCAGTGGTTCTCAAAGAAGCATTAGGTCTCATGGCACATCAGCTAAGCATAACAGAGCTATCACAGCAGCCCTAAGTTAAAGACTGAATTGCAATCATGTGTTTTCTCACACATCATCCCATTTGTCACAAAATATGCACCATTTGGTTTGCACAGAGGAGAGTTATGATAGCTTTCCTTTGCAAGAATTAAATGCAGGACAAACTGTATTGTGGAGAAATTGGCAATGGAGAATACTCAAATTATAGCAGTACATTTGAATGAGAAATTCTCGTTTTCCTTGAATCCAAAGGCCGTGATATGCTGAACTGTGTTATTTCTGACTTAGACTGAAAGTTTTCTGAGGGGTATATTTTACAGAACACTTACAAAAATAAAAATGGTGCGAATGGGCGATAGGTTTACAAAAGGTTTAAACAAGTTAAACTTATCCGGATATGCTGCAAAAGAGTGGAGCAACAGTTTTCATACCAGTGTTTCCATACATTGGACTAGCCTCATTTTTGCACTAGCCTGGCTTACAACCCTTGAACCGCTGCATCCTGGATCTCAAAAAAAGTTGGTGGTACCAGCAGGGGAAGAAGAGGGCACCACACGACTCTGATGACCCGCTTCGGACACACTTAAACAAGAGCTTCTTTCCCGAGTCCCACCGGAAGACAAGCCGCTATCCCTAGATCTTTCTCCTCTCGGTTACCACTTTCGTTGTTCACTCAGGCTCCGCCTTCCGGCCTAATGCACCAATTAAAACTAAGAACAGAGAAAAACCGGAGAACAGATAAAAAGAGAAGAGAAAAAAAGGCAAAAAGCCGCAGGGAACCCGCGGCAGGCAGACTCTCGCGATAATTCGCCAGCACCGCGGTTCCCGGGCGGACCCGGGAGCGGACCTGTGGGGGCGGGTTCTCTCGTGGCCCCGCCCTTCCTGAGCGCTGGGGCAGTTTGGCGGGAATTTCGCCGGTTTGGGATTCCGGCCCCACGCACTCCGTGGCTGTATTTGGGACCTCGGCGGGCGGATCTCGGGGACCGAAAGTGTGAGTAGGCACGACGTGCATTCTGCAGGGGCTGCCCGGGTACCGAGGATTCCGGCTCTCGTTGCCCCCTGCCCGGGCCGGTCTCTGCCGGGTTCGTTCCGGGAGAACCTTGGGACTGGCTCGGTGGCCGGGAGGAGTGGGGTTTGGCGCGGGGTACTCCCGATCCCCACCCGGAGTCTGCAAAGGAACTTTCTCACAACGCTGCCGGATGACTGGCTCGGTGCGATTTAGCGGAGGGCACAGGGCCAGGCTGGCTCGGGAGGTGCCGGACGGTATCTGTCCAGCAAACGTGTTTTCCTCTTTACCCGGTCCCGGGCCGCAGCAGGGTCCGACCCAGAGGCGTTGAGTTCCTGCTACAGCCGGTCGCGGGTGCGCTCTAGGTTCTGGCAGCCTTGATCTAGGGGAGCCAGTGGAGGACAGTTGGTGGGAATCTGGCTTCTCAGTTATTTTCTTTGTGCTGGGGAGGGGAGCGCTTTGGTGACTTTCTGACGTCACTCGTCCTTCCTCCACGAGTCTAATCGCAACTTCTCTGGAGCCCTTAATGATAATAAAATGACCCCCAAACATTTTAGGACATGAAGTAAACTATGGATATCTGTTCTGCTGGGTCGACGTTCCTGACCGACAGTTTGGAACTGGAGCTGGGAACCGAATGGTGCAACCTGCCTTGCTTTTCTTGTGCTTTTGACAATAGAGGAGGAGGAAAACATTTTTCTGGAGAGTCGTACCTTTCCAGCGGAGCCCTTAAGCGGTAGGTACAAGAATCGGAGACTTTGTTTTATTACTTTCATCAGATTTTTCATTAGTTTGTTAGAAATGATATTTAAGGTTTTAGGTAACTAAACTTTGATATTCAAGCCATGTTTTTGTAAGTCGGCTTAGTACATCAGACAGATGCAAACTATTAGGTCTGTCATTGGTTTCCTGTTTAAGAGCACACCTAAAAGATTTTTGGATAGGAAGGAGAACTTTCTTGCTACCTAATACTCTCTCACCTCTCTGCTTCCTCAGCCTTGCCGGCCAGAGCTGGGTTCTAATTTTCCTTTTACTTAAAGTGAATCAATCCTGAACTACCCGGACTTTTTGAAATGATGTTTCCTCCTAAAACATGAAGTGATATTTTGGAGTTTCTCAGTAAGTCTTAAGCAAGACGTGCATATTTTTTGTTGCCCCAGTTCCTTCTAAAGCTGTGAGTCATTACATTAACAGAAGTCTTATAGACTTATTCTTTTTAACTTTCTGATAAATACACCAGATTGTGTAAGTTCACAATAATGTTATTCATCAGAGTTCTTGCCTTGGACAGTTGGACACATATTGTCGTAAAACTGCTGTTACTGAAATATTTTGGGAATACCTTCCGAGACAACTTTAGTCAGAAAGCAAGTAATTTTTGTTGGTTTTATAGTTGTGCTTTGTTAGAAACTTTGAAAGAGATTACTCAATTTGATTATGCTGTTCTCCAGACATGGCTCAGAATAATTTATAATTTATAGATGTTTTAAAAATTAAACGCCCCCTCAAAGGGTGAAATTCTACATCGGAAGACCACTATTAAAGGCAGGCTAAAGTATGTACCTTAGACTCCTTTTTGTGCTTTACACATAAGTTACATTGCTCTTTACAGTTATACTTTTTTTGAATCAATATGTAGGACTGAATTTTTAATACAGTTCTAGCTTTAGTATTCCTGGGTTTGTGTACGGTACCAAGCCATATCCCAACCTTATTATTGCTGGCATGTTATTATGTATAATATGGGTTCATAGAATGTCAAAAAGGACATTATAGTTTAGGACTTAGCATACTTTTCATGAGATTTAATCATAGTTTTCATTTCAGATTAATTTTGAATCTCGATCCTTTACCAACAAATTTTGAAGAAGATACAGTGGAAATATTTGGCATTCAGTGGGTTACTGAAACAGCATTAGTGAATTCATCTAGAGTGCTATTTCATTTATTCAGGTAAGCTTGTTTGTTTTTTAAAATTTCCTTGGAGTACAGATACTGTTCACTTTTGTAAATTATGTTGCTCTGTGGTTTCTCATACTGATACTAACAAAAGCATCAGTAGAAATGTGCTTTTTGTTCACTTGATTATCTTATCAATAACAAAATTATGTGGTAACATTTTATGGAGTAACAGTTTTAATGAGTTGTTTTTTAATAAATAACCTTTTTAAGAATATTTGAAATCATATATTTAAGACAAATATTTAAGGCTTTGAACTATGTTATAGTTTTGGAAGAAAACCAAAATACTTTTATTGTTTAATAGCCATAATCTTTTAATGATTTTTAAAGAATGAACTCATGCTTTTCAATATATCTTTCAGACTGTATCATAGAAATATTACTATTTAATATGATTAATTTAGACATTAAAATTCTTAATGAAAAATTTCAAAAAACACAATAATATAATGAACCCTCGCATACCTTCCCTTAATTTTAATAAACATCAAGGTTTTATCACGTCTTCTTCATCTGTTCCTTCCCCTCTTATTTTTGGCTTAAGTATTTTTAAGCAAATTCTAGGCTTCATGTCATCATTAAATATTTCAGTATGAATTTCTTAAAAATACGAGCTTTTTTCCAAACATAAACACTTATCACTTATTATCATAATGAACGCAGTTGAAATAATGTATCATTTAAAACTTAGTCAATATTCAGATTTTAGATTTTGAAATGAAGTAAGTTACTGAGGGCAAATTATTATCCAAAAGTACATTAAGAATGTGTATATGGTACATTTAAATGAAAATGGAAAGGTGGAGGGATTTCCCCTCCCACCCTCATCCCATAGACCTTGTGAAGAGACATCACATTCGTATCATGTGGCATGAGTTATTGGGAACAGGCTGAGTGAGAGATTCTCTAATTTTGACCAAACGGAATGAGTTGAGTCTTTATCTAGGACACAGGTGATAAATACGAGTCAGTCTTTAAGGAGTTGAGAGGCAACTAGGAAGAATGGCCAGGGAAGATTACTCTCAGAAATTATGTGGGGCAATATAAATACGACTTTCCCTGATAACGCTAGTCTTTTTGAACTCCTACTGTGTAAATACAGGGTCAGGCGCAAATAACACCCCTTTTTTATTACATAAAAATCTTATTACAAAATTATAAGCATGTAATTCTGTAACAGCATCACATTCAAGCACACCACATGACATTTTAGGTGAAATGTTCAATTTGTTGTCCATCTTGCGCAAGACATTCACACACTCTTCCAACCACGCTCAATGGCATTATTTCTGCTGGACCCTGTATATGATACAACCTAACATTTTATTATATAACTGTTAACCTAGGCTATTTTATATAGTAAGTATCTTAAACTTCTAGAAGATTTAAACAGTATCTAGTTGATAGCAGAATCTATGTTATTTGATATGATTTCTGAGATATATGCAGCTTTTAATATATTATTTTTGGAAGGTCAGACAAAGGCATATTTTATCTTTTCCCAAAGTCTTCACTATCTGAAGCTGACCCTGTAATAAACATTTTTGAAGTATTGGAAACATTGTCCTTGTGATTGTTACATTCTTTGCGCTATTCTAAAATTAACTCTCACTTTACAATTTTTAAATTAGGCAACAACTGTATAACTTGGAAACCTTATTACAGGCCAGCTGTGATTTTGGTGAGTCATGTGCTTAAAGGTGAATTGTGTGTTTAAAAGTGAGTTGCGTGTGGGTTTCATGATGTGTGGTTGGGATAGTATAATAACCTGGAGGAAGTGTTAGGTTAGAAGCTCAGGATACAGTGTATTTAGTTTTTAGGAAAAGTGTGACCCTTAAATTTTGTCATAGCTGAGATTTATAGTACTTTTTCAAATCTGTGGGTAAAATTGATTTAAGGCTAAACATCTCTGAAGTGAGTTAGTAACAAGCATTGAGGGTGCAAAGTGAGATAGCGAACTCATAAGAGAAATAGTACCAGACCTTATGCTATCTCCTTGCTCTTTTCTGCTTTCTGTTTTTGTTAGTTTGTCTGTTTTTGACATGTAGTGGATTACTCATTTTGGGGGCTTTGTACATCTCAGTTAGTGAAGGGAATTGGAGGGCTTTCTGTGTTAGTGCAGGCCAGCTTCTCCTTTCTGGCAGCTTTAGGTGCAGTTTGTATTTAGAATCATGGCGTCATGGTCAGCCTGGGTTCCACCCCTAGCTAATGGTGGGTCCCACACCAGTTAATAGTTCTCACCAGGTTGAGTTCTTGTGAGAGTTAAATGACATAATGCAGGATAAGTGCTTAGCCCAGCAACTAAGGATTACCTGGACCACACACCTTGGTTAAACAAAGGTTTAGTGGCTTACAACCCAAGGGGAAAATCCACATCATGAGGCACAGTTGGGACCTTCCATAAGAGGAAGTGGGAAGGGGATTGTGCTAGGGTTTGGGTTTGTGCTGGCTGATTTTGGGTGAAGTTTAAGGGGACTAGGACTTGGTTCTGGATTGCATGCTCTTAAGAACCAGGAGCAATAAGATTATTGTGTTAATTTTTATATAGAAGGTGAGACAAGGGGAGCCTAGGGAAGGTTCTAATTAGTAAAGAAGCAAACTTGTTGGCTGAAAGAGGGAGGTGTTCTGTTTTTTATTTTGTTTTTTTGTGTGTGATTGTATAAAGCCTTATTTCTGAATACAGAGAGGGTTTGTTATTGACTTGTTTCACCATAATCCTGGGATAGCCCAGTCTAATTATTTTAAAAATTATTTTATTAAAGTATAGTTGATATACAATATTATATTTGTTTCAGGAATACAGTGTAATTATTTGATTTTTACATACCTTACAGAGTAATCACCATAAGTCTAGTAACCATCTGTCACTGCACAAAGTTATTATGACATCATTGACTATTCCCTAGGCTCTACATTGCATCCTTGTAACTTCAGTATTATATATAGCTGGAAGTTTGTACTCCTTAACCGCCTTCTCCTTTTTACCCACTCCCCACTCCCTTCCCTCTGGCAATTATCAGTTTATTCTCTGTATCTGTTTCTGTTTTGTTTTGTTTTTTTTTTTAAGATTCCACAAGTGAGTGAAATCCTATGGTGTTTGTCTTGCTCTGACTAACTTATTTCATGTAGCATAGTACCCTCTAGGTCCGTGTTGCCACAAACGGCAAGATTTCTTTTTTTTTATGGCTGGAAAATAGTCCATTGTATACATTGTATAGATATACATGTCACATCCGTCTCCATTCATCTGTTGATGGGCACCTATGTTACTTCCATATCTTGGCTATTGTTATTTGCTACAATGAACATAAGGGTGCATATATCCTTTTGAATTAGAGTTTCCATTTTCTTCAGAAAAATACCCAGAAGTGGAATTGATGTGTTGTGTGGTAGTTCCATTAGTTTTTTGAGGAACCTCCATACTGTTTTCTATAGAAGCTGTACCAAATTACAGTCCCACCAACAGAGCACAGGGTTCCCTTTTCTTCACGTCTTCACCAACACTTGTTATTTGTTGACTTTTTGATAATAGCCATTCCAAAAGGTGTGAGGTGACATCTCATGTGGTCAGATTATTTTTGATATCTTAGGAAAACTGTTTAATTTCAATAAAAATAGGTGTCAGGGCTGTTTTGCTTGTTTTCTTTTCTCACTATTTGCTCAGTAACTGTTGAGTATTGTTTCACTAGCCCCCGAGTCCCTGCTTCAGCCAAGGTACTAGGTAAGGTGCAGACAAATCAGCGTGGAAAAGCGTGCTGCTGAAGAGCTTGCAGTTGAGTAGAACACATGGACATGCGAGCATGGGTCAGCATGAAAAATGGAAGGGTAGTGGTCAACGCATGTGCGAGCTGCTACTGCAGCTCGGGGCTTCGTTTGCTGGCCTGCGTATCACCGAGTGAGGCCAGATCGGCGTCTTCCAGGATGAGGAGAGATTAAGTAGGCAGAAGATTTGGGGAAAGTTTTGGGGACAGGAAGCGTTCCAGGTAGAAACAATTATATTGACAAAGATTTTGAGGTAGGTAAAAACATAAAAGTTCAGGGACCAAGAAGTACAGTAAGTAAAGAGTATATGAGAGAGTGATGAATTTGAAAAGGATGAAATTACAGTTGTCTTTGTAAAGCATTTCCACAGAGTTAGTATATTTTGAAACCCCAGGGAACAACTAAAAGATTACAGTGGGCTCAGCAAGAACATATAACCATGTAGGCTGACTTAATCAAATTCAGTTTGAGGAAGGCATTTATTACACGGGACTATTGCTTGAAAACTACTTACTGGCCTAAAATAGTACAACGGACTATTTGTTGAAATGGTTGTTACATGGACATTTTGGCTGCTTTTGTTTCTTGTAAAAACTTTTAGTGATAGATCTGTTGGACATGTTAATAGTGTTAAAGATCATTCCTAGATCAGCTTCTCACTGTCCCACACCTGGATCAGGGCCCCATTAATAATGTCATGTAGCTAGCATGGCTCTCAGCCCTCCCCAGAAAGCCCTCATGTAGGGACACTTACTGAGCGTGTGTGGTTCTTGTCCTCCTGTTCATTATGCTACCCACATTGCTTTCCAGTTGAGCCAGAATAACATGCAAAATTATGTTTTGCTGATAGCTGTTCCTTTTGTTAAATCTTTACCTGAGTATAGGTTTATTGATTTTTGAGAGAGAGGAAGGGAGGGAGGGAGAGAAACATTGATGTGAGAGAGAAGCATCAATCGGTTGCCTTCTGGATGTGACCATCCTGAAGATCGAGCCCACAGCTAGGTGTGTGCTTTGACCAGGGACAGGACAAGCTCCAACCAGCTGAGCCACTGGCCTGGGCGCTGATACCTGTTCTTAAGTATAGCTGTTGGTGTTTTCCTTTTTCAGATACTATATTTTTTTTGTCTACAGACATTTCATTTGGATTTTTTTGTATATTCTGTTTCTGTCCTCATGCTTTTTTTCATCCATTTTGGATGTACAGAGTATACATATAACAACTTTTTTTAACTTCGTTGACTGCACATTCTTTTAGCATTGCTATTTCTGGGTCTGTTGATTGATTTTCCTCCTGTTTTTTTGAAGATCTAGTAATTTTCTGTTGTATGATAGACATTGTAGTATTTACATTAACTGCTTTCTGGATTTTCTTGTATTATTTCTCTAGCCAGTGTTAAATTTTGTTTTGGCTTGCTGTTGAAAACTTGTAATTCATTGAATTTTTTGAATCGTAAATGTTTTTAGGTCTTAAAAGTAGTCTTTAGTCTAATATTAATTTAGTTCTAATAAGGCTAATGATGATTCTTTTTGGTATATTATGATGCTTTTTTTCATTCTTCCTAGTGGGAACTTGAAATGTTCCCTGGCCTGTGTGAGCTTTGCAGGGAATTGTTTTCTAATGTTTTTACTTGGTCTTGGGTTTTTCTTTCCTCATTCTTGAACCGATCAGTACTTAGCCAGAGATTCAATGGGGACCTTCTGTACATTTCCAGAACTTTTTTTTTCTTCTCTGTTTTTATGTAGCTTTTTTCTTCTTTGGTGCTTTTGCCCTGTAATTTCAGACCTTCTGTGCCCTTGGCTTAGTAATCTGGACTCTGGGTTCTCTCTTCCTGTGCTGCTGCCTAAAAATTGTCTTTCTGTGGGAAGTGTTGGGATAGCAATCTTGCATTGCCTTGTTTCTGGTGCCTGAAAACTTTTTTAAATGTTGATTTTCTAGTTTTCTAGTTTAAAATGGGAGATGGGTAAATCTGATTCCTTTTACTCCATCTTGGCTGGATGCAGGAGTTCACAGCAGTTGTTTTTAAGAGATTACTGCCTCATGGGTTGAGAATTGTGAAACCAAGGGATGATACGACTTTTGTAGGTGAAATGTAATTAAGCTATAAAAATTCACTGTACTGTTTAATATATAGATATTTGCATAACCTCTTCTGTTGGTTTTGCCAAAACAGTGGCCATGTTTGCTCATTTAAGTTCAAATTTAGAAGTAAGTTTTGCTTTATGTTTAATATCGGTTAGAATAATTTTGTCTTTAATTCTCATCATTTTTTTCTGCTTTGGTTTAGTGATTGTCTCTTACTTTTCTTATAGTGATTGTTATCATACATATGTTTTGCCCATAGTGACATTCCAGATAATTTTTGTTGATGTAAATATGGCAAGGATTGAAGTTGGAAGAAAGACAGTATTAATATATCATTTGGGGCCTTATAAATCAGTATAAGGAGTTTTGATTTTATTCTGAATTCTGTAGATATCCTTTCATAGGTTTCGAGTTAGGGGAAACAGGAATTGACACACACACATATATTTTTTATTTATATATATACACTTAAAACCTATTTTGTACTTAGATTACACAGGGGCAATGGAAGGTGTGGGAAGACCTATTAGGAGACCTGCTGCAGTAATTCAAGAACTTATAGGGAAATGGATAGTTAGAAGGTATATTTCGGTCATAAACTTAATATGACACTGGTGGATTATATATGAGTTTTAAGGAAATGGAAGAAGCAAGAATGACATATAGGCAACTGTTGACACCAGTCTTAATGAGTGGAGAAAACATGGGTGTGACAGGTTTTGTAAGAAATCCAGGATGTATTTGCACTGTCTGAGCAATCCAAGTGCAAGGTGGTGTGCAGTTTAACATGCAAAGTCTGGAGGGCAAAGGAGAGTTCTGAGGTATAGGTAAACCTTTTCAAATTGTTATAATTTTGAAATAAAGGAACTGATTATATGCACAAGAGGAAAGGACCCGGACTGAGTCCCGAGGACCCCCCACACTAGTAGTTGGGTAGAGGAGGAAGAGAGGAGACTGGCAGTATGTGGTGTCAGTGAAGCCAGGTGTAGCCAGTGCTGCTGGCAGGTTACTTGAGGACAAGTAGTATCCATTGATTGGACAACATGAGTTTCATTGGTGACCTTAATAACAGATTTTTGGAGGGTGGCAAGAATTATATAGGAATTAGTAGGAAAAAGTAAAAGATAGAAAATTGGTGCTTGTGTGTTACTGCTCACTGATTAATTACTTAAGCTATGATTAACATTATCTATTTTGGTTTCAGGGAAGATATCAACCCTACACCACAAAGCAGACAATATTAGGCAGCAGTGTGTAACGTTTCTTCATTATGTTAAAGTTTTCATCTTCAGGTAGGATGTCAGATAACTATTATGATTACCGCATGAGCATCTGAGTACCCTTTCCTCCAGACTCTGGTTGTTCATGGTATCCAATTGCTTTTTAGGTTCCTGAAAGTACAGAATGCCGAGAGTCATGTTCCTGTTCATCCCTATGAGATTTTGGAGGCGCAGCTTCCCTCAGTATTGATTGATGAGCTTCATGGATTACTCTTGTATATCGGACATCTATCTGAGCTTCCCAATATTAATCCCGAAACATTTGAAAATCAAAATCAGATTAAGGTTTGACTTATTTCAATTGATTTTTAAATTATCCTTTTTTCTCTCTATAAGGAGTATTTATTCAAGAATGAAGGAAATTACTTAAAGAGTGCAGCTCTGGACTCAGACTGCCTGATTTGAAATTCTGGCTCCTCTTATTAATTATGTGCCTTTGGGCAAGTAATACCTCTTGCCTCGTCTCCCTATTTGTATAATCGGTATAGCTTCCTAGAGTTAGTGGGAGAATTAGATACGTTAAAATGAATAAAGCACTTAGAACATAGCATACTCTATCTAAATCAGGGATAATTGTTCTGTATTCCAATGTATAACTTTCAAATCAAATCACATAACCTTTATTTTCAAAAATATGTATTGTCTTTCCCTACTTTTATTATAGTAAAATATAAGATCACCTTATAAAAGTTAGATTTGCAAAACCATGTCATTTTTTTTATTCTGACTTTTGAGACTTTTTCAGAATATGATTAAGTTGTTTTCACTAATGCCCTTCCTCCCCACCTTTTTATTATTTGTACTGTTAGCATAATGCAGCTTATGGATATAGTCAACAAATTCTCCATAGGATGATGTGAGATTCTGTGTATAACCAATTATACTTCCCCATGGATTCTCTAAACTCTCAACCTCTTCTATTTTATTTGACTTCACGAAGTTGAATAACATTTAGTTTTTAGGCATGTGTCTTTTGTCTAAATTCAAAGTACAATGAAATGTTTATATATTTCTGTGAAAATTAAAAAAAACAAAAATGGACTCTTTATGAGGGATAAATGTATCTAATAATAAAAGTAAACAGAGTCCTGGCTTTTGTGGCTCAGTTGGTTGGAGCATCATCCCATAAACCAAAACGTCATGGGTTTGATTCCCAGTCAGGGCACATGCCTGTGTTGCAGGATCAGCCCAGTCCTGGTCAGGGCATATGCTGGAGGCAGCCGATTGATGTTTCCCTCTCTCTCCCCTTCCTTTTCTTCTCTCTAAAATCACGTAGTCATGATTACATGAATCTCAGTAATCATGTCCTTGGGAGAGGATAAAAAAGAAAGTAAACAGAGTTCCAACTGAATTCATAGGTTTGTATGTATAAGCCATAGAAAGCAAATAGGTAATTGCTTTGAATTAAGTCATTTAATAAAGATTCGAGGGTAGATTGTGGGGGAGGGATATTTTTCCTTTTTTTTAGTTTCTAAATTTGAATGCTTTTTATTATCTATCAAGTGTTTAAGAAAATAATTAATAATTTATCTAGGAACAGAAATGAAAAATGTGTCCGAGGGTTCTCAAATGAGGTTTTGCCCTTCATAGACTTTTTAATTAGGCAGATTTGAAAAGCTAGGTTATTTGAAGATCAAAAGACTGAATTTTAAAGCAAGGGAATATAGTCTTCAACACACACACAAAAAATCATACACTTAAATTATTTTCTAAAACAACAGCAAAAGCATCTCACAATATAAAAACTATCAAGACTTTATACATATCTTGTATTTTATCAGCCTTATATATGAAAAGTAGTGATTCAATTGGTATTTTCAGTTGAGCATCTTTCTTATTCTTTTTTAGAATGTTTTTTGTTAGAAATATTTGGATATTATGTATTACAAATATTTTCATTTATCTTTTTCAGCAATTAAGCCAATTTACTAGGTAGATTGAAGTTTTTTATATAGTTATATTTGTCAGTTTTTTTCTTTTGTATCTCTGTGCTGATGTTAAAATGTACTTGTTTTTACATTTATCTCTTTATCTTTAAAATATGCTGTGAGGTGGGAAATCTAACTTTAGTTTCTTCCAAATAAACAAGTTAATAATTCTATCTTATTGAATGTCTTACGTTTTTCACACTGATTTGGATACCACATTTTTTCATTTCTTTCCTATTTTGCTGTTTTTTATTATCTGTTCCTGAGCCAGTATTGTTGTATTAGTGTATCATTTTATTTTGTTTGCATATTTGATAAGGCAAGTTCCATCATTCTTTCTAGTTGTCTTAATAGAACTTGTATGTCATTATATTTAGTTTTTACAGTGATACTAAATGTTGACTGAAAGAAGGTTATTGATAGTTGAGAGCACTGGTTTTCAGTCAGATAGAATTAGGTTTGAATCCAAATGCATGAACTGAGAGGTAATTTCTTCTTTTAACTTAAAGTTCATTAAAGGGCATGACAATAGTACCTACATAATAGTTTAAAGTTCCCTTGTTAATATTCCTCATAGGAGTTGCTGGGTATGTATTACATTTAAAAAACTTATTTCCTAACTAAAGTCTAAAACAAAATCATGAAAATAATTGTTTTTTAAATTCTTTTACTGCCATGCAGCTCTTATAGAATCAGAGCTTGGTTAGAAGGGACCTTTACTATACAAATCTATTCAGCAGCCCCAAGATGGGTCTGTGTTAAATCTTTAGATGAAAATATATCTTGTCCTGCTTTTAAAATCTCTGGTGAAAAAAATCTTCTAATGATCAAGACAAAGGTTTTCCCTGAGCTTTTGAAAAGGGGTAGGTTAATTAATTCTTTGTCATGGTGCTTATGGAGGAGTGTTGTGATATGCTATCACTTATCTCGTGAAGTACTGACTATTACGAATTCTTAGTCACCGCTGACATTGTCATTCACAGCTCTTTCAACCCTCATGGCATTTATTACATCTCCACTTGGATATCCATTGGCTGGTGCTAGAAATTCTTCACATGCTTGGTGAAAAATTGAGTAAGTGTATGGTTTTCTGATTTCTGTCCTTTTTCTAATCTAAGCTTTTATTGGTTTTTAAAGTTACACAAGTAATAAGTGTTTTCTGATTTTTTTTTTTAATCAAATAGTAGCCAAAGTAAAAAGTGAAAATCTTTTTTTCTGGAGTTACCTACTGGAAATGTCTATTTATCCTCATGCTTTCTATTAGTTTACATATATAGACTTCCTACTCTTAGGTAGGAAGCTAGTTTTGATTTCTAACCACAAATGCTGTGGTATTGTTCTGTATGGTATATATCATTTAACAGTTCATACATATTGTTTTGTGGTATTGTTCTGTATGGTATATATCATTTAACAGTTCACACATATTGTTCATGTTCATACATATTGTTTTACTTTAGTCATTTAGGTCTGTAGGTAAATGGTCTATTTAACCACATTTATTTTTTTAATATTTCAGTTATTTTCCTTTTTTGATATTATAAATAATATTATACATCTTTCAATACTCGTACAAACTAAGCTGTAGAATGGAGTCTTAGAATTGGAGTGGCGTATTGTAACTTTAATGTTGCATGTGCTCCCTGTTGCTGTGAGTAAATGTCCCCAATTGATGTGCACCAACTGTGACCGTGCCTTCGCCTCATAGTCTGGCCAGTAGTGGGTATTATCAGTTACTTTAATTTTTTTGCCAACTAGTATGTGAAAAATGATACTGAATCTTGATTTTTATAATTCCCTAATTACAAGTGAAGTTGAACATTCTCATAATTTCATTGTCTTTTTATATTTTCTTTATGAATTAGTTCATAATCTTTTACATATTTTTCTGGTTTTTTTTTCCACATTTAAAAAATTTTTAGACGGGGGGAAGGGAGGGAGAAAGAGAGGACATTAATGTGTGATTGCCATTCATGCACCCACTACTGGACCAGACCTACAATCCAGGCCTGTGCCCTCACTGGGAACTGAACTGGTGACTCTTTGGTTCGCAAGGCAGTGCTCAATCCACTGAGCCACACCAGCCAAGGAAAAAAATTTTTTTAAATAAGTAGAAGTTTGTTAGACATAGTAATCTTTTAGTTCCTATGTTGCCTATTTATTTCTTGGTCTTGCTTCTTAGCATGTTTAGATTCTACTTTAAGTTTAGCAATGTTCTGGAAATCTTTAACTTGCAAAGTAGATTATCAATTATTTAGGTTAGAAAGATAGCCATTAACTCAGTACCTGCTTTTTAATTACTTAATAAGCACAAAAATACATATATGTCTCTATGTGTATACACTCACATGTATACATACAAAGGATGTACACAAATACATAATTTATTTCTCATTCGGACACTGTATTTTAAATAATATCTTCTTAGAACAATACTCAGGTAGACTTACTCTTACTCTGATCTAGACACAAATTTTGGTACATGTTAGGTTCGTTTGCTATATTTTGCACCAAAAAAGCAATTGCACATAGGTACTTTATTATTAATTTTAAAAAAGAATGTTTTTTTAGTTAGAAGTATGGGTGAAGATTTTCTGTTTGTCCTCTTATTTTTTTCTCTTAAGTGATGTTGCTTATTGCTTTTGAAAGATGGTCACATTAAGAAAACAGAAGTTTATTGAATGGTAATTGGAAAGATTGAAACTTTTTTAGGTGGTATTAGTGTTTATGTAAGAAAGGAATTGTAAAATTTAACTTTTCTTTGCAAAAATTTGCTTTTAAATGCATATGTCAAAATAAGTTAATTTAAAGGTATACAATCACTTTCCTCCTGTAGTTTTAAATAAAATATTTTATTATGTTTTTAGAACAAGTTGTGTATGGTCATCAGTTTATGAATCTGGCAGGTGACAATTTAACCAATGTCAGCCTATTTGAAAAACACTGTGAAAGTCTCCTTTGTGATTTACTAAGCCTGTCACTCAGCAGATATGACAAGGTAAAGCTTTAAGAGTTTGTATTTTGCTATTACTGGCAATAGTTAGTTCTTTAACCATGCAATTTAAACTATAAGAATTTAATCTGAATTCTTGTTAATTCTTTCAATTTTATATTTACTTTTATCTGGGAGTTGAATTGGAAAATAATTTGACTTAAACATTTTTAAAAAGGCTGGAATTAGTGTTTTAGAGCTGTTACTTTTTTAAAGCCTTTTTATCTTGTCAAAAATAAATACATAAAAACGGGACATTTATGATAATGACTGGAAATTTAACTTCTATTCAGTAGTAGTGGTCAGCCCTTTAATAATCTAGCATATTGCTGTTACATAATGAAAGATGAATAATTAACTAAAGTTAGTTGATAAGCTTAAAGGGTGGTTTTAGTTGACAAATATTAAGGGTAGTTTTGTTTGCTTGTTTTCATCTGACATCATTGTGGAAATTGCTTTTTTCTACTAAATTGTATTTATATATAGTGTTTAATACAGAAAGATTTAAAGGTGTTATATTACACATTTATTTCAAGTAATTGAAATTTATAGATATTATCGTCATTTATTTCAGGTTATAAGCATAAACCTTACTAATGGGGAATCAGGAATTTTTTAAATCTGTAATTTTTAAAATGTAGATTGTTTTATGTATTGTCAGTATTGATTAAATCTAGTCTATATGTTTACAATTAATATAATGAGTAGATTAAGCAGATATGTTATAGTAATATCTTAACAGTTACCTTTTACAATGTATTAGAAATATATAATATGTATGAAATAAGAATTTCAGAAGTTTAGCTATACTTATAAATGTAGACAATATTCTCTGCAATTTTAATGGCCATTGAAGACATATTTGTTAAAAAATGGTGAAATTGTTTAACCTTTATAAATCTCTAATAATCATATTCTGATTTATAAAACATTTTAGTTGCCTTTACAGTGAATCAAAAATTATTTTTTAATGTTTTTACTGCTAGTCTTTTATTGTAGCAGATGGATTTGGTCAACATTAGGAAACTGTGATGCTGAGGCCAAATCTAAGACAGCTCCTGCCTTTGTAAATAAAACTTCACTGGAGCTCAGCCCCTTCCTCTTTGTCCTTATTGCCAGTGGCCGATGCCGCAGGACAGTGGCGGAGCTGAGTGCCTGTGCGGACTGTGTCATGAGTCCAGCCTCAGATATTTGCTGTCTAGCTCTTTACAGAATGTTTGCTCATCATTGGACTGCATATTTAACCAGAGGTTTTATTATAAGTTGAAAATAACATTTATTCTGTGCCTTTGATTTTATAATGGGGGTTTTTAAAAATTGATGAAATGACATTTTAATAAAGAATTTTATGTAATTAAGTGTAAGTTTTAAGTGCTCTAAATCATTGTTTTAAAATATTTGAGAGGATATATGGCATGTAAAATTCTACTATATTGTAAGTAACACATTTTGGTTCTTTAATACAGGTTAGGCCTATGGAAGCATTAGTGAGTCACCATTGCCCATGTGCATGCATTAGAGAATTATGGGTTCTACTCATTCATCTTCTAGACCACAGAAGTAAATGTTCTGTCTCAGAAGTAAGTTGTAAAATTGATGTGTTAGTTACCATTATTGATACTGATTATTTTAAATTTATGTTTCGGTAGTTTTGGCCAAGAAGAATCGTACAGACAGGTCAGCTTTCCACTAGATTTAACTATTACAAACTTCCAGCAGTTTTTCCCCTTTGATCATTTGCCAGGATGTTTTATTGCTTTGACATGGTAAAAATCAATTTTTTTCATTTTCTTATTAAGAATTTTATGTTTTTTTAGAATTGCTCTTATTTTATAGATTTTAGACTTGAAAGTGTAAACCACATGTAGTACAGGCATGTTTATATTGGTTGCCATTAGTTTTTTTCTAGATTTTTTTTTTTTAAGTTTACTTATTCATTTAATTTTAGAGGGGAAGGGAGAGATAGAGGGAGAGAAACATCAATGTGTGGTTCCCTCTCTCGTGTCCCTTACCAGGGACCTGGACTGCAACCCAGGCATGTGTCCTGACTGGGAATTGAACCAGTGACCCTTTGTTTTGCAGGCCAGTACTCAATTCACTGACCATACCAAGCAGGGCTTTTTCTAGATTTTAAATAGAAATATAGGCATAATTGAAAATACTAATTGTAGAAATATGCATAGTGATACATAGTGCTTTACCTAAATGATTTATATTCTCTTCATTTTATGTAGTAACCAGACTTGTCTTAAAATAATAAATGTCTGAGGCCATTTTATTTTTTTAAATACTACTAAAATAAGTTATAGTCTCAGATTTCAAGGTCATTTTATTTTGAAAGGCAAATTAAGAGTTTATATTCTTTTTGTTTGTTTGTTTATATTCTTGACAGTAAGACAGTTTGATCTTCCTGCTTAAAAACTAACCTAATTTAATCATGCTGGGTACTCGGTAGTAGCATTTTAAGTGTGTCTGTTAGTTTGCAGAAAGTAAGGAGTATTGAGGCCATATACTAATAATTGGTGGGAACTCAGATCATATGAACACTGAAACTGCCTCATCAACTTAGATGCAGTTGCTAAATTATATAAACTTCAACATTAGCCTTCATACATATAAGGTACAAGCATAGAAGATAAAGCTTAGAGTTGACCTAAGTCAGTTGCCTACTAATATACCCAAGTACCCCTAAATCTGGGCTTCTAAGAGGATGAACTCAGAACTCGACTAAATTGGTAAGGAAAATTGCCTTTGACTGTGGTATATTGCAGTTTAAAATTGTTTGTTATTTAAAGCCAGTAAGTTCATGTTGCATAGATGGTGCTAAAATTCTCAAGCCTGTGACTTTTAAACCAATGACATCGTCAATAACCATGGACAGTGAGTGGATACTTAAACCCACAGCTTCCCACCTAACTTCCTCCAAAATATAGAACAGCAGGAACAAATAAAACTACACATGTAAAGAACAGTTGACTGCATAACTACAAGATAGGAGTACTCAAAGCTATAAATTAAAAGTAAACATCACCGAAGCTCGAGCACAAAACTTTCTAACAAGCTAGGGTAGTGAGAAAAATTGCTCAGAAGAGAGAAGGGAGCTAGTAGTAGTCATAAAGTTGGTCTAAAACCATGGCCAGATTGTGAAAAGAACTGAAAAAGTTTCCTTGTTGATCCCAGAACTGATTATAGAACAGGAACACGAAAGTGTGTGTGGGGCTCAAGGAGGCCGCCTTTGAAACTGAACCTTCTGGGGAATAGAGGGAAGTCCCCTTGGTGACTGAGTGGTCAAAGTGATGGGGAGTCAAAGCAGAGAAAGTAGGGTCTTGTGAAACAAAAGACACACAGCAAAAACCCAAACTTTCCACCACCACCACCACAAAATAAATAAATGGATACATAAGCAAATAAATAAAATCCAATGAAGAATGGGACTTTGATACATTGACAGAAGAGGGATCATTGAACTAGGAATCTTAAAAAAAAGTAGTCCAAATCTACAAAGTAAAAGGGAACCAAAGAGGTCTTTCTAAAGTTACTCCTAGAAGACAGAATTGATACACTTTCACTGATGATACCCTCCCTCCCAGAAACAATTATAAAGCAGAAGAAAATTGTAAGACTGCTTCAGATGGAATTAAAAAGACAAGTATTTGGGTTTGTAAAAAAAAACACCTTGAATAAGATATTCCATTGTTAAAATAAACAGACCAAAAACCAGAAATGAATGAAGTAAATTGAGTGCAGGAGAGAAGTAGAAATAAAAGTCATTTTAGAATTCACTAAATTAGAAGATTCCCAAGGAGAATAGACTCAAATGAAAATTTAATAAGGGGCTTATTTTTGTGTATAAGTGGAACTTAATCAACAAAACAAGCAAGCAAAATATAACCAGAGACATTGAAATAAAGAACAAACTGACAGTAACCCGAGGGTGGGGGGGAGTCATCAAGGGACATGCCTAAAAGACCCGCTGGACAAAGCCAAAGGAGGGTAGGATTAAAGGGGGGGAGTGGTAGGAGGAAAATGAAGACAGCTGTACTTGAACAACAATAAAACAAAAGAAAGAAAATTTAATAAAGGGCATGGAAGAAAGGCAACCAAAGGAATAAAAATGAGATGAAGGAAAATAAGGGGTTAGAGAGAAAATGGTTGAAATGGAAGATGGGCAACAAATATCTTTTAAGTGGAGTCCATAAAGAAGAAAATGCTGTGGGATATAACTAACATTTAAAACAATGAATGAATCCAAGAAAATGTTTCAGAAATAGAAGAGGAACTAAATCTACTGGATAACTGGACAGATTAACTCCAAATTATCCGTGCTGAGAAATAGCCTACTAAAACTATTTGACTTCAAATATACAGAAAATGTCAAGTCATCTGGGTGATCTTCAAATCCTCCAGGCAAAGACACCCAATAACTTAAAATAGCAAAATAATTTGACCTGCGCTAGACTTCTCAAAAATGACATGAAAACCAGACCACCATGGATCATTTGAAAAGACTCAAAAAGCCTTCCTCCGTGTGCAGACACAACCATAAGTCTCTGCTCCAGAAGAGGGCCCTCACCTGACCGTGCTGGACACCCTGATCTTGGACTGCCAGCCTCTGGAACTGAATGAATTAACACTGGCACAGCAGAACTAGCTCTCAGCCCAGAGAAAAGGAACTTAGGTCCCACCTCTAACTCTGGAGATTATACGGACTATAACTATGAAATACTCCCTTAATAAAAAGCTCAAGACTAAGGAAAGTGTCCAAACCAAAAGGAAACAACAAAAATGATCTATAACAGTGAAGAAGCAAATTAAAAATCACTCTTTGTACTATCTGACATGCAGTGGCTGTGGGGACTAAGGTGGATGCGGATTAGCTGAGAGAGAAAAACAAAAAGCAGTTGAAAGTTCCAGGAGGAGCAAGGAAGTTTCTGTGTTTCGTCTACCTGGGAATGAATGGTTCGCAGAATACTGACAGCAGGCTAAGGAAGACTCGTGGAATCTGTTGCTTGGGAGTGCTGCAGACTGCTGAAAGCAGGGTTTTTTTTTTGTTTTGTTTTTTCTATTGTATACGATGGTTTAAAAAATTTACAGTGCAACAGTATTGCTTTATACAGTGTACTCAGTTTATTATTTTTTAAAAGAAATTGTGAGTTTAAAAGAATTACACTATAATTCTTGCCAAAAGGAATATTTAATTTTCCCTACCCTCTGCCTGGCCCCTCATTCCTATAATGAGGGAGGGGAATACTGAATGGGATTTGAAGTTTTCCCTCTGAGAAAGGGACATTTTCTGCAGTCAGGTCAGTGATTAAAGGATTAATCCTCTAAGGAAATTATCTAAAGGGGAGAGGCAGTTCCAGGTTATTAAGTTATTTTCAAATGTTGTGTGAGTTGCCGCTGACCTCTGTGGAGGCCACAGGATGCTGCTTTTCAGGGGAACAGCATGAGAAGCAGTTAGAGGAGCCTTGGAGAGGCTTAGAAATGTTTGGGAGTGTATACATGCCCCACATGATGTGGGGACTCCAAGGATGAAAATAAACTAATTTGATCAAGGATGTATTTGTGTCCCAGAATATATTCTAAGTGTGTAGCTAATACCGGGTGTATCTATATGAGTGTTGTCCTAAAAACCCAACACTCATAGTTTAGTAGACTTCAATTCAATTTCCCAGAAGGGAAGGAAAGCAAATTAATATTCTTTAAATGATATTGTGAGCTTAAGCAAACTGCTCAAATAACAGAGTCAGAACATATAAAGCTGGGTTTCAAATGCAGATTTATTTGATGGCCACAGCCCATGGTTTTTTTTTTCTACCACATCATTATGTAAGAAAGTACTTGTCTAATAAAGTTAGAAAAAGAAAATGAAGGTATAACAAATATTTACTTACTTTTGGGGAAACAGACCTAAATATATTTTATACGTGCTCTCACATTCCCAGAAGTGCCATGAACATGTGGTCGGGGGCACCAATCTCCTACCATGTGTGATATGAGAGTTTTGGCCTGTATGTATTATACTATTATATTTCAGTTGACGCAAGTGTATGTGTATGTTGCCACATTTAAGCATTACATATAGAATGTTGCAAAATTTTTCTCTAAAATAAAAACTTATACACGCCAGAAAAAAAAAAAAGAGACTCACAAAGTATGGGCCAAGGATTTTATAACCTTGACTCTAGCAGTCCCACTTCTAGACATTTACCCTTAGTACACCCCTGCAACAATTCAAAAAATACATGTGCATCAGGCTATTTATTGCAGCACAGTTTGTAAAAGCACAGTATTAGAAACTACCTAAATGCCCACACACAGGACAGTGGTTAAAGAAACCATGGTATATCTGCACATTGGTGTATTACACATTTACAACAGACTGAGGGAGATATATGATCTGACAATGGAGTGCTTTCTAGAATTTATTATTAAATAAACTAAGTAAAGTGCAGAAAATATTTAGAGGATGCTACATTTTTGTGTAACAAAGTTGAGGAAATAAGGAAATATGTGTATTTGTGCACAAAGAAACACTGGCAAGGCAAATCAGGAAGTACTGAGACTGGTGGGTAGGAATGGGAGATGGGTGGGTAAGAATGGAGTGAAAGGATTTTAATGTGTTGTGCTGACTTTGGAACCATGTTACCCTTTCAGGTGCCCCACATATAAGGCAACATGTATGGAAAAGGGGCATTCAATGGAATGTAAAGAAAAACAGTTGAACCTAACTGTATTGCTAGTGAACAACACACTGAGGGGTGGGGTAGGGAGAGGACTAACCTAGGTAACTTAAATAGAATGCACTATTCTGACTGTACTCTAATGCTAAAGACAAAAAACAAAAACAAAAACAAACAAAAAACTGTAAATAGTGCAAATACTGGACTCCTGTTAGGAGATTCGTCTTGTACAGTGTTACATATGAATTCACAATTTTAAAGTTTACTTTTTTTGCAGTCTAGCACTGAGCAAATTTATAAGTATGTTGTGGGTAATTAGAGCCAGCTAAGAAAATTGGTAGGAAATTGAGTTATACATATGGAAAGAGGGAAAGCTAGAGTGAACCATAGTGTATTCAATTGGATTGAGGTATCAGTATGAAGTAATAGTTTTTAATAATTAGAACTATCTATAGATGTATATGTGTGTGGACATTCATACATTTTTTATCTTATCCACTGAGTGGGCCTAGAAACGATAATATAAGTAACAATGAGCGATTTCTAGCCATGTTTTGGTTCTGAAATAACCATATTCCCAGGAAAGGAAATAAGGCTTCAGGCTGTGGCTTGGAAAATGAGAAAATGAGGAAGTAAGAAACCCAATGAATTTCTCTTTGGGTAAAGAAAAAGATAAGCACACCTAGATATCATATAGTGAAACTTCAGAATATCAAAGACAGAAGAAATTGAAAGCATTCAGACAAAAAAACATAGAGGGACAATTAGACTGATAGGTAACCTGTCAACAATAGTGGAGACCAGTGGGAATGATATCTTTATCTTCATTGTGTTAAAAGAAAGTGTCAACCCAAAATTCTTTATTCAGCAAAATCTCTCAAGAGTTAAGTGAAACAAAAGCTATTTGAACATATGCTGTTATTTCTGAGGTGATTACTATAAGAAGAGAAAATTGACTTACAAGCTGGAAGAGGGGGGAAAATGAAATAAATATTCAGTCCAAAGGAAGGCAAGAGGAGGCACTGGTAGAAAAATTAGGTGTACAAACAGAGATACAGAAAAAGATGGTAGTTTTAAAAGTAAATAACATTGCATTGACTGTAGATGGACTACTAAATACTCATTTTAAACATGTACTGTTAGAAGAGATGCTGTTTACAAAAAATAATCTAAAACAATATAGAAAGGTTCAGAATTTTTTAAAAAGCATATATATATATATATATATATATATATATATATATATATATATGGTAGGTAATGTATAAAATTAGTGTTGGAAAAAACTAGACTTTAAAACCAACAGAAACATTAAGTCACTTCATATTGATAAAAGGTACAATTTACCAGGAAGATAAAACAGATAAAAAATTCTATATGGCTAATAACATGGTGCTAAATATAAAAAATAAAAATTGGCAACTACAAAGAGAAATATATATGCTTAGAGATATTGTAATATACTTCTAAGTAACTTGTAGGTAAAAGAAGATATAATGGAAATTTTGAATTTTTTTTGCAGGAAATAATTAGCATACTACTAGAAGCTTTGGGACTGCAGCTGAGGTTATAAAGAAGGAAATTTATAACTTTAAATACAAATGTTAGAAGAAAAAAATGGAAATTAATGAGCTAAGAAGTTAGGAGAAAAATTCATTTCTAATAAACCCAAAGAAAGTAATAGGTTACAAATAAAATTAGCACAGATTTTTGAGACTGAAAATAATAAAAATGGTCAAATCAAAGAAAAAGATCAGAACGGTCAAAAATTGGATCTTCAGAAAGATTACTAAAATTGGCTAATCTTTCTTGAGGTGATTATAGAGTCAGTGTTAGAAATAAAGAACGTGACTATAGATTCTACAGGTGTTGAGATATTGTCAACAGCCTTATGCCTAATAATGTAAACATGTGAAATGAATGACAACCTGGAAAAAAGTTTTACTGAAACTCATCAAATATTCAACAACAGTAAATCAGGTAAATGGTGTTATCATATAGCCATACGTTGGAATATTCTGTAGAACTACAGCTCTACTCATTAATTTGAATGAATCTCAGAAACATAATGTTGAGGGAAAGAGTCAAGTTACCGAAGCATAGAAACAGGCCACTTAGTAGACACTTCTCCAGAGAGAACATACAGATGGCCAGTAGACGTATGAAAAGATGCTCAGTGTCACTAATGATCAGAGGAACGCAAATTGAAAGCACAATGAGATATTACCTCACTCCTGTCAGAATGACCATCATTAATAAATCAAGTGCTGGTGAGGGTGTGGAGAAAAAGGAACTCTTGTGTACTGTTAGTGGGAATGCGGATTGGTGGAAAGCAGTATGTAGTTACCTCAAAAAATTAAAAAATGGAACTGCCTTATGACCCAGCTATTCTATTTCTGTGAATATATCCAAAGGAACCTGAAACACTAATTGAAAAGAATATATGCACCTCTGGGTTTATTGCAGCATTATTTACAACAGCCCAGATTTGGAAGCAGCTCAAGTGCTCTCAGTAAATGAGTAGATAAAAAAAAGTAGTGTTACATTTACACAATGGAATACTACTTGGCCATAAAAAAGGAAATCTTACCCTTTGCAATATCATGGATGGACATGAAGAGTATTGTGCTAAGTGAAATAAGCCAGAAATACGCGATTTGGGCTTACATACATATATGACAAAACTTTCAAAAACAAGGGAATGACATTATAAAAGTCAGGATAATGGTTACTCAGGTTGGGAGACAAAGTTGTAATATGAGAATATAGCAACATGTAGGATCTTTCTAAAATACTATTTATTTTCAAATTCTTAACATGGGTTTTTAAAATTACTGTTTTTTACGTTTTGCATATTTGTTTTACATTCTCTTCGGCACGTATATGTCATTATTAAAACAGAGGGAAAGCCCAAATCAAAAGCTATTGGACCAGTGTCTATTTTAATTGAATCACATCACTTCTCTTTCTGTAGTCATTTTGGAAGTGGTTGAATAAACTACTTAAAACACTCTTTGAAAAGTCAAGTGACCAAAGAAGACCTTCTATGCCTGTAATCCAGCCCAGGGATCCGTTAGGTTTTATTTGGTGGATTATGACTCATGTAGCATCACTTTACCAGTTTGATCGCCACGGAGCACCAGATGAAACGGTAAGGTTTTATTTTTTTAAACTTTCTTGTATTACCAGTTAATACATACTTTTGGTAGACACATTAGAAAGCAGAAACAGGGAATAAGCCTACAGAGATATATTCAACTTTGAACCTAGAAGCTGTAGACATCTTGAAAAATCATAATCTTCGTTTTTATTGTTGAAGAAAAACAATTTGTAGAAGAGTTGGGATCTCATCCTGTTTCTTTTACGAAGTAGTTTTACTACCTTCAGTGAATTACTTAAACCTTCCTGGGCCTCTGTTCCCTCATCCAAGGCCATCTAGATTTTTGAAAGATTCTCTTTATTTCCAAAATTGGTAAGATTGCCAGCCGGAAAACATATTTCTCTAGAAATGAATCAGTAAGTTTTGTGAATCATTTGATTAAATTATTTCCTCAAAATAACACTTCATCATAGAAACTTTTTGCGAAAGTTATTTTCATCTATTAAATAACCATGAAGTTTACTTCAAATAGAGTGACAGATTTTACAGAAACATTTTTACAGTGTTATTTTAAAAATTGCTGTGAATAAAACCAGCTGGTAGATGTATTTATTTGAAGCCTTATTTGTATATAATTTCTTTCACGTTCAGAAATGAATAACATAGTATTATGTCATTTCATCAGTTCCATAAAATAAACATCTAGAATGTTGAAGCCAGTGTTTTCAAAATTGGTCTTGTTTTTCTGGGAGTGGGTCTTAAACCTGCTGATCATTAGACCTACCTTTGAGTTTTTAAAATTCAGGTCTCTGGGTCTCAACTATGGAGATCCTGATTTAGTAATCTGTTTGGAGTTTGGGAATACTTATTTTTAAAAAAGTTTTCTGGCTTTCATCCTGTATTTGTTTATGAAACATGTTTCTTGTTGGACTTGACAGATTTTCCTTTTTTTGGAATATTGAGCCCAGTAGGCTGAGAAATCTCCGTGGAATCTGAGGGTCATTTATATTGACATTGTGTCATCGAAATGGAAAGGCCGCATGAGATCCTCTAAATGATCCCTCTAAGGATAAAAGCCCTGTTAAGGGGATCCCAAGGTAAATTAAAATAGAGTCAGAAAGGGCTCTGAAATGATCAGAAGCAGCTTAGTATCAGTGTTGCTGAGATTTCTACCATGGCCTCGACTGGTGTGGCTCAGTGGGTTGGGTATCGTCCCGCAAAGCGAAAGCTTGGTGGTTCAATTCTATGTCGCGGCACATGTCTGCGCTGCAGTTTTGGTTCCCATTCAAGGCACACAGGAAAGGCAACTGATTAATGTTTCTCTCTCACATTAAATAAATGAGAGAGAAAAAAAATAAAACCTTTAAAGAAAGAATTCTATCACACACTGAGTGAGGTGAATAGAAGGAGCTTCTCATAGAGAAGGATTGTATATCCCTTGTTTCTTTACGTGAGTCCTTACCATGCTGATAGCACAGTAAATACTCAGTAAATGTTAGCATTTACCATGATTACTGTAGTATCCCTGTTATTGAGTATTTTTGTGGAGTTAACATGATAATGTTTCACATCTTAATTACTAAGAATAGTAGAACAAAATTAAAAGAAGTCAACAAAAATCTACCTACAATTCTAAGGTCTTTACTTAGCACTTTTATTTCTTTTTCCAATCTTAATTCTTTCAAGTACATATTTCTGATTTGAATTGGTATAAATAAGTATAGTTAAGCACTTCTGAGTCCCTATTATAATAATAAGTGCTAATGATAGGACACACATGAGACAGATTGTACTGCCTCTTCATGTTTTCAGGCTGTTAATTCTTGTTGGAATGCACTGTTTTGAGTGAGTGGTATATTTCAGTAGTGGTTGCTGTTGAACCCCAGTAGCCATATTAATATGTGTAATTACTGCTACTGTTGTAATGTTGAGTTGTACTAGGACAAACTCCCACAGTAACATTGCTGAAATCACTCTTCTGTTTCACACAGAGAAGTCCAAAGGAGATTATTGCTTTTACTAGCTGAATCAAGATAGTAAATGAGTTTTCTGTATTTAAACTAGCTTAACCTTTGTGTTTTAATATTTTTCAGCAGTTCCTGTGTGTGTGTTTTTGCCAAGATACATGTTTTTTAAAATCTTAATTTCTTAAGGTTTTCAGAGGAAAGAGCTATGATGTTTGAAAAAGAACCTTTCATATGATAAAAATGTGCAATATGTATATGCATGTGTATGTGTAAAATACACAACTTTTATTCATGAACCCTCAAAGAGGTCATATTTCTGGACTTTTTAATGCCTTTTAAAGAAAAACTCAAGCTGTCCATTATAATAGTTTTTGTTAGGGGTCATACCTTTAGCATATTGTATTTGCTAATTGTTTAGTATCTCACAGGGACTGTTCAGTTTTATCTCAGTGAAGCATTATGAAATGAGAGGGTAATATATACATACATATTAGAGGTATAGAAACTGAAGTACAGAGTGTGTAAGTATCACCCTATTTTTATCCCTGAAACTCGATATTAGGGTTCTCCTAAGCAGAACTTCTGCAGAACAGGTCCTTGCTAGGGTGACCATGTCTATGAGTTTGCCCTTGACAGTCCCAGTTTGTGCCTGCCATCCCTTCATCCCATCTGTGGGATGTTACTCTCAAAAGTGTCTTATTTGGTTTATAAATCATAATCTAATCTATAAAGACATAGTGACCCGTTGGAGCTTATATAGGATGCTAATTTGGATCTTGGATATATTTAGATTAGAATTATGAAAGTTACTTGAATTTTTTTCCTTTAGATGTATTAGCATAACCAGCTACTGTAAAGAAAGTGGTTATGTATTAAATGTGCTTTATTCCATTAAAGAGTTATCTGGTGTGAGAGGGTGATGTGAAGTAATAATGGTTAGTCATGTGTTCTGCAGGAAAGAAATATCTCTGGTCTTGTGTTAACTATAGAGATGTTTTAGTTTTTGAGTGTGAACTTCTTTGCCCTGAAGGTTAATGTGAAATCTTTACATTTTAAATAGGTTTCAGATATAGTTAATTTTTTTTAATTTTAAAAGTGTCTGTACATGGACTTTTGCTGTATGTGGATTTAAATCACAAACTTGCTAATTGCTCACTGTAGATCTATAAGGAAATTTGCTATCAATTCTCATACTACAGGCTTTAGGTTTTCATACATTTCTGCCTAATGCTTTTTTCAACCCGGATAAGGGTGTGTTATCATCGCACAATCCTAATCATCTATTTTAAAAGCATAAATTGTTTAAGGAGAAAAAATCACTTTTGAGCACTGCCAGCATCAGTCTAACAGTGCTGTCCCTGCCCATGCACAGTGCAGTCAGGCTGTCTGAGGCTCTGCTTTGAAACATCTGAAATGGTGAGAAGATAAAAGGTGTGAAATGTAACCTGAAAATGAGAGTGGAACCAGGTCACCTAGTTCGCTGTAAGTGGAGGGTTGGGGACCTCTTTTACACTTCTTGTGCTATCGCTGCCTATGCTGCAGCTTTACTTAGTGTTTAGTTTTGATATTGGGATGAGATATATAAAACAGCCCAAATCGAGGACTCATACTTCTTTTTCTTTCAGTGGAGTTAAGATACTTATAACTTAATATATAGGAAAAAATGCTATAGCTGCTCTAGGTTAAGTTTTCTTAAGGAAGAAATAGCTGTATTCCTTTGATACATAGTTTCTTCTTACTCAGTCTTGTCTTGATTTTGGCATGATATGGTTGCTATTCTGTCCTCTGAGTTATGGGGTGTTTTTGTTTTAGATTATAGCCACAATACTGATCCATAGAGTTGAAATTCTTTGGGCAAGAATTAACACTACTATTTTGTAACTCAGGTAATTCAAAGGGCTTTATAGAACAGAATAATTGAAATATACTCATTAACACTATCAAATTATAAAGCTAAAAACATCAACCTTATCGTGTTCCTGCATATTTGGGACTAGTGGTGATGTTTTCTCAGTAAAGAATGATATAGAAGTAAATTAATCAAAGGTGAAGGAAGGCTTGTTAGAAAAAGAAAACCAGTTACTGATAACTTGTTATAATGGAAGGGACATTGGGTTTGGAGCCAGACCAACTTGGATTTGAATCGACGCTGTGACTTGTATATACATGATCTTTCTGAGACTTAATTATGTTATCTTTTAAATGGGAAAGATTTTTTTTTTCTTGAGGAAATAATGTAAAGACCCTAACACAATGTACACATTTGTTAGAACAAAATGGTCTCCTTTTGGCGAACATTTTAGGGCCAACTACCAAGCTTCAGGGAACAGTCCTCAAGACTGCCCTCATTTCTGACAACCGCAAGCTCAGGGATTCAGCTGTGTAATTTACTTGGACCTGTAGAGCTCACTGAACACTGTTATACGCACGGTTATGGTTTGTTACAGGGAGAGGATATGATTTCAAACCAGCCAGGGTACGCAGTGCAGAGTTGAAGAGAGGTACCAAATGTGGAGGCCCTGTGCCCCTCCCCGTGGAATCGGGACACGTTAGTCTCCTGGCATCAGTGTGTGGCGTGCGCAGCGCTGGTGTCAGGGAGCTCCGTATCCTGTGAGGAGGCCCTGCAGGCTTTCCTGTTGGAAAAGTGGTCCTTTTCAGTTCCTAGCTTTTGTGACATATTTGGTTCTGCGAAAGTCCCTGTCGGTTTTCATACAGTGGGGAATCTTCCAGATACTTGAGGTTGCCAGGTAAGTCACCATTGCTTAAGTATGGGTAGCGCTGTGTAAAACTTTTTCTTTATTTTCTGTGTTCATACATTAGTTACTTGTTTACCAGAGTAAACTGTCTTGAGGCTGTTACTCATGAAATGAAGGGAAGAGTCTGTGGTGGGTAAAGTGCAGGATAAGGAAAAATACTCAGGGCATAAATACTCCAACATATATAAAAGTTTTTTTCTTCCTGTTAGATTACATCTGACAGCAAAAATTTAATATTTGTTAAAACATTTATAATTTTATAGAAGTACCACTGTTTAATGAAACAGCTCCTTATAAAGTTTATGTTGGACTGGAATGGTTGTAAACTTTTTCTACTGAGTCTCCGCCAGCTCTGCCAAGCTAATTTGAGACATTCAAAAAGTTGTAGTAAGTTCTGACGTTTGATAAAATGTACTTCACACTTGACTTGCTATACCAGAATTTATACAGCAGCAATTTTGGGGCAGCAGTTTTGATGCAATAATATTTTCTTCTTTCTTAGAGGCAAATGGAATCAAGTTGGAACTTTGTGGAAGAACTGCTGAAAAGGTCCATCAGTGTTCAGGTGTGCATTTAGAGCGAGACAATTTGTAGGCTTTGCTAATTTTTACATTTTATTTGTAAGAACCAACAAACTAAAAATGATTTAGATAACAAACTTCATTTACTTATTAATGCCCTATGATAGAAATAATCGTTCTTTGTTATGGAGTGTCAACATAACATAGTTCCTATTAGTAACTGTGCTTTAAAGGTTTTTATTTTTAATGCCGAGTTGTCAGTTAAAGGACAAAGATAATTATCCTAGCTGGTGACTTTGACAAAATGTATTCAAAATAAGTAGTAGGTGCTTCAGAACTTAAGCCATTCCTCGGCTGAATGGTATCAAGTCTGAGAGACACGATGAGGCAGATAGTCAGTGGCATTGGAAATGCAGCTCTGTCCTCGTCACAGCAGGAAGGGGACTTTGCCTTGCTGAGCAATTTGTCTTACGGGCTTGAATCATACTCTGACTGATAAGGTCCTAGTTTCTGAGCCCTCATTTCATACCTTATCATTTTTCTTTCTGCACAGCTGTTAATGTAGTGCTTCATGGCCCACAGGTCAGATTTGACCTCCTTTTAAAATAGTTTTAAATGTGCTCTTCATCACATCTTTAAACGTCTTGTAGTGTAGTTCTGTAAAGTTTTGTAATGTTACTTGTCTAAGAGTTTAAGGAAAAATTTTAGTAAAGGATTTTTAGAATTTGGGTAATAGGTTACTTTTGTGTAAATACAGACTGTTAAAACTTTTGCAGAGGAATAAAAAGGAAGTATAATAGTCAGGGATTGCTCTCTGTGTAGCACAGAGATGCACGTACACACATATGCACACATTTATTTTATAGCCATATCTTTGAAAATCAAAATAGCTTGCAATTTTCTTTTCCCTGTTATCTATGTTAATTCTCAATATCTTAGGTGAAATATGTAAGTACATTTAGTTATAACTCTTCAAAGTATGAGCTGAGAATTCTATGTCAGAATTCCAAAGACCTTCACATACTGAATTCGTATCAGAAACTAAAGAGCCATTATCCCAATCATTGTAAAAGTGTTGGTTTATTTTTTTTCTATATCATTTTAGTTAGCTTTATTCTTGTTCTTTTTGAGAACATACTGATTTAGTAACTCAAAACATTTCTTACATATATTTTTAAATTCAAGAATGTAGAGAATTGCTAAAAAAATGGTCATTGTTATATGTGACCATTTAGCAAACTACCAATCCAATCTTAATGCCTCAGCATAGCTTAGAAACCTCTTAAACTTGCTTTTAGCTCTAACAGTTTTTAATACATAGTTTTGTTCTACTAGATTTTAAATTACAGAGTATTTCTTAAAAGGCTGTAAAGGTTCATATGGATAAATATCCATATATCCACTGTGGTCAGGGAAGGCAGGAAAATTTATTATTTCTCTTCCATAGAAAAGTTTGCTTTTTGACTAAGAGTTGAAAACTCTATTTAAACACATTAAGTTGTTTGAAAGTTAATTTCTTTTTGGTTTGTATTGTGACTTCCTATAATTTTAATTTTAGGTGAAGGAAACTTATTATCTTTAAGAAAAACTTAGTTGGAATGTCTTACACATAATGTGATAAAACTTATTCTGAAATGGCCTAGTATAAATGTATTGGACCACTTGCCAGAGTTTTTGAAACCAATTTTGTTGAGTACAGTAGGTGGTCATAAAGACTAAATAATATGTTTTAGATAAAGCTGTCAATTTGATTATATCTGTTTTCCCTCGTTGAGGTACATTAAAATCTGACCATGTTCATGTGCTTTGACTTAATCTCCAACAGTGAAAAAGGTCATTTGCAATATTTCAGAAAAAAAAAATTCCACATTTAGAGCAGTCTTCAAAAAAATTGATAGCCACTGTACTTTTAATTGAGCAAGTAATGTTCCAAGTCTTGTTGTAGGTAGAGAGGATCTTCCTTAAACAGACATTAAACTTTGTTAGTAAAGAGAACATATATTTAATTTTACCTATATAAGTGCAATTGAATAGTTAAGTATTTCCTTTAAAAACAGTTTTTTAGTGGCAATCCTATTTAATATTTGTCAATGCTAATAATAAACATTTATTCTACTTCTAAGACAGTATTATTGTTTTCATATGAAAAAGGAGATTTTTAGTTTTATGCTACCTACTTTTCAAAGTCTCATTTTCAGAGTTCACAAAGCAAGTATAAAAGAAATCTTACGCAAGTCTAATATTTTTTAAATATTATTTTCAGTTTTCAAAGAATTTAGAGAATCCAAGACTAAAAGCAATTCAGAATATGATTAGATCTGAATAATGTAGAATAATAATCTTTTAATTACTAACTCAAAATCATTGTGTTTATTGGACAGAAGGATCTTGACTAAGATATTGAAGTTAAGCTGTCTTTATTCAGTCCTAAAAATAAATCTAATCAGGTAGACTAACAGTTACTATTTAGCTTTCAAATAAATTTTTCAAGGGTAGCCACACGTGCACATGGCGGAGATGAGACACCCAGAGAGCCCATAGACAGGTCTCTCGAGAAATGAAGAAGTCCTGGGACTGACACAGGCAAGTTTAAGGCTGCGTGGAAAAGGGGCCCACAGGAATAGTTTCTGAAAAATCTTTAATCAGAGGGCATGGATTTTGATCGATGTCTTTAATCAAACCTTTTAGTTTAGAATTTGACCTTAACACTCACAAAATTGAAATATATCAGCTTAAGGTACAATACTATGAACCTGTTGCATTTATTATTTTATCTTTAAGAGTCAATATTTGGCCTAAAAAGAGACATTTCCTTTTTTGCAGGTAACAAAATAATAGTTATTCTTGTGCAAGCACTGTACTTAGCATTTAATTACATTCTTCCATTTAATGAATATGACAATCTTGTGTAGTTTCATTTTACACATTAAGAAACTTGCTGAAGAGGGTGTGACGGAGCTTGTCCAGGTTCACACATCTAGCTAGACGATGGTAGAATTGGGATTTGAATCTTCATGTGTGTTTTACTTACTATGCATTCCCTCAAAGCATCTGACTTTGTAGCATTCTTAATAAAACTCACTTTACTTTCATTATTTCTATTTTAAAAGTTCTTTGCTGCTATGTGTTTGATTAGATATCCATTTTGTTCTCTGGATCTGTTTTGGTGATACTGGTGGAAGGCGTATCAGTTTTCCATATTGTTTTTATTTCCCCCTCTCCGATAAGTGTGTGATGGGGAAAACATAATGTAGGAAGAAATTAATGTACTTAATTGTTCTCAGATATTCTTCCTCACAGTAGTTCAGTTCTCTCTATTTTTTTGTTGTTATAAATTTGAGCTAAAATGTCTGTTGCCTTCTCTACTCCAGATTATTGTATATTCTTATTTCTGCTTATCTGGATTTGAAAATGGGCAATTCAATGGGCAAATCCTGTGTCTACTTAATTCCTCAGGTGTGAACATACAGTTTTTTAAAGGAAATTTTAAAGAAAAACAGAGGGAAATTAGCTCAAAACAAAGTAATGAATAGTTACATATGCAGAAGATGAAAATGTATTTTATAATAAATAGTGTTTGTAATTAATTATAGGCTAAAAAATACTTTTAAAATTGCAACCAGCTGAATGATTACCTGTGTTGTTAGAACTGTGGAAAAAATTATATTTTTAAAGCCTTTTTTTCCCATTTTAATCTGTAACCACCAACAGGAAAATGAAAGGCAATTTATTTCCTTTCTTTTTAAAAAATAAAATAACAAATCCCTACGATGCCATATTTAATTTCCTCTTGATTGGATAGAGTGGAAAAAGAAAGGACTCTGGCTTTACAAGCTTTGATTTAAGTCTTGATCTGGTCACTAAAAGCAATTTTGATCACATCTGGTGTCCATTAAATGTTCAGTTCTTTTCCCTTCTGTTTTTGGAAGAGTGCATGGATTAGTATGTATAACAGACTTTTTAGTCATAAATCCTAATTTCCAAGTGGACTTTGGTAAGATATTTATAATTTCTGAACCTCAACCTTCATTCCTGTGAAGTGAAGGTAATAAAACTGGGATGCTGTGAGCCATTCACGAACTTAGATATGTAAATGTCACATAATGTCTGGCACATGGTTTGTATTTAAACTTTTTATCTTTTGCAAATTTAATTTATGCTTATGGCTTAAATACTTCTCTGGATTTACATGTATGTAAAATGTATGTTTCAGATATCAAGTAAAACACGACTCTTTAAAATGTACCCACTTTTTTTATAAACCCACTTTTTAGCCTTGCAGCATAGTAGATTAGTATAGTTCATGTCAGTGGTATGCACCAGAGTGGGCTTAGGCTGTGGGAGGAACCCCGGCCAGCAGCGCTCCTCCTGGCCACGGTGGATGAGAAATAAGTCATCCCGGGCACAATCAGGTTGTTCTGGCGGGAAAGAGGGTGGCAATTCTGTCTAGTGGGGAACACCCCGAACCCTTCTCCCAAACAGCTTTTATTGGGAATGGTATGTGTAGTGTATACAGCATACGTGCATAGCTCATCAGTCAGTGTCAAAAGGCTACTGTCATACAAAAACAGGTATTATCTACAGATAACAATTGAAGGAACACAGAGATCTGTCACAGGTCAGGGTCTGTTAGTCATGCTGATGCCAGTCAAGGGGTCTTTAAGATGGGTTTCATGAGATAAGGAGTTTACTCCTTAATCCTTGAACTTAAACATCCAGTTTATGTCACCAGGGCTATACAAAACAAACAGAGCAGGCTTCAAAGGACACAATGTGTTTATCAGGCCTAACTCCCCCTGGGAACCCTTGGTTTTATGAGTGTTATCTGCCACCTCCATTACCTGGTTTTCCAGGGAGACTTTAGCCCCTTTCAGAGTGGGGCTGCAATCTCTGAAACCACACAGAGTGGTCCCCAACATCTCCCCCTTTTTTGTTTGTTATGCCGCTGTAATCAACAGGGTTATGGTAGGCAGAGCAGGCTTCAAAGGACAAAATGTACATTCTTTCTCAGGCCAGATTTATCCCTGGGAACTGTTCGTTCCAGTACAAGGCTGCAGCTGCCTCTGGCATTGTTTTCAGGCTGAATCAGGTGGGGGGAACCAAGCAGCCAAGAGATTAGGAGACTTTTTATAGGATTCAGGCTAAGACGAAGCCAAGGGTGAGGCTCTTTCTGCCCCTTCTCTGTAGACCTTCCCTGATGGCTCTTCATGACTGTGCCTGTCTTAGGTTGTCCCTCCCTTGAGGAATCTTACCTATCCTTGGCTAACCAGTCACTTGCCCAGGCCAAGCAGGGTGAAGTGAGGGAGGCAGGGGATGTGCTCCTGCCAGGAGGATAGGTTCTGTCTCCTTAGTGGCTCGTGGCCCCTTTTCCTTATCTTAGACACACTGACAGTATAACCAAAAGCACTGGTGCCACTGTCCTCTCTTATGTGGGATGAAAGGCACCAAATTCTGTCTTTCTAGGTGTGAATCAGGCCTGATAAACACATTGTGTCCTTTGAAGCCTGCTCTGTTTGTTTTGTATAGCCCTGGTGACATAAACTGGATGTTTAAGTTCAAGGATTAAGGAGTAAACTCCTTATCTCATGAAACCCATCTTAAAGACCCCTTGACTGGCATCAGCATGACTAACAGACCCTGACCTGTGACAGATCTCTGTGTTCCTTCAATTGTTATCTGTAGATAATACCTGTTTTTGTGTGACAGTAGCCTTTTGACACTGACTGATGAGCTATGCACGTATGCTGTATACACTACACATACCATTCCCAATAAAAGCTGTTTGGGAGAAGGGTTCGGGGCGTTCCCCACGAGAGGGAATTGCCACCCTCTTTCCCGCCAGAACAACCTGATTGTGTCCGGGATGACTTATACCTAACTCATCCACCGTGGCCAGGAGGAGCTCTGCTGGCTGGGGTTCCTGCCACATCAGTCTAGTTCAACATTTTCATAATAAAATCAAGAATGTTAGCAATGAACAGAATGTTGTCTTCTTTGGTTAAATGCACTTAATTGTCTACTAGAGAATCTCAAAATCTTTTCCTAAGGCATATAACTACTTGGTGAAAAGAGGCATCTTTACCCAGATCTTAGTTCTGTTCATGTAAAATTTATGGAGTCTCTTTGGTTACCCAGGCACTATGCTAGGCCCTGGGAACATTATCTCAGGCTCCAGAGCATCCTAGACATTTGAAGGCATATAAATATTAAATTTAACAAGGTAAGTGCTGTGATACAGGTGTGTATATTGCACTGTGGAGTATAAAGTAAGGCCACTGTTCAGCATGGAAGTCAGGCAGTTTCCTAGAGGACTTGAACCTGATGTGTATACTAAAGGATTAATCATTAAAAGAGTTAAGTCTTTGCCAAACAAAACAAAACAAAACCTGCTCATGCTTGGTTCACTCTTATTCATTAAGAAATTTAGGGCCAAGATCACTTTTTTTGTATACTTAGGTACTATTTTTGTTAGTGACACCAACATTTTTGTGTATAATTGATCTGTCCTTTAAGTTTTTTTTTTAATATTTTTTTTTAAATTTTATTTATTTATCTTTAGAGGGGAAGGGAAGGAGAGAGCGAGAGAAACATCAATGTATGGTTGCCTTTCATGCGTCCCCTGCTGGGAATTGGCCTGCAGGGAACTGGCCTGCAACCCAGGAATGTGCCCTGACTGGGAATCGAACCGCGATTGTCTGGTTCGCAGGCCCGGGCTCAATCCACTGAGCTACACCAGCCAGGGCTTGTCCTTTAAGTTTTTAATATCTTCACTTCTAATTAGATTTTGTTTTAGTTACCTTACCCACCTCTTATGGTTATTATCTACTTTTTTTTCCTTGTGTTTAGTCTGCCTATCGCAGTTGACCTTTTCATTTCTTGTCTTCTTTTATATCCACATTTTCCTACTAAAACAGTTTAGATTACATATATAACACCTTATTATGATCACTCTGTAGGTGTTTGTACACCTTGATTCCATAGCCCTCACCTGTTTTTAAACTCAGGAAAACACAGTCCTGTCTTGTCTCCTGCCACCTCCGTCTCCAGCTGCATATTGCTGGAGAAAAATTATATAGTCATTCTTACCAATCTTGATTGCAAATCTGGGATGGCACTTGGCTGTAGAATGTTTGCTTTTCTGCTCTCTAAAGTGACTTACCTCACAATTTGTTTTTAACACACAATTCAACACATGCTCTGCCCCAATAAACTTAGCTAAATGTCTTGCATCATAAATCATTGAGAAATGGACCAATCAGTAGAGAATTCTTTTATCTTTGCACCTTTAAATATCTCACCTTGCCTGCTTTGTACTCTTCCCCTCAGTGTGGTTTACTTTTATATCAGAAATTATGCTCTTTCTATCAAAGGCTCAGTCCATTCTCTGTGCACTGGATCTTGTCTTTTCTCACCTGTTCAAGGGCTTTATGTATTCTCACTTAAATACAGTAGTTCCCCCTTAACTGCACTTGCTTTTCACATTTTCCATTACCTGTGGTCAACATCAATCCAAAAATACTTAATTGACATTACCAGAAATAAACAATTCATAAGTTTTAAGTTGTACATGCTCTGAGTAACCTGATGAACTCTCTTGCCATCCTGCTGGGGTTGTGAATGTCCCCTTTGTCTAAAGTATTTAATTTACACTGTATATGTGACCTGCTGCTTAGTCACTTAGTTGCCATCCTGATTATCAGAGAGAGCAAGACCACATTCATATGATTTTCATATAGTATATTGTTATAATTGTTTTATTTTTAGTTATTGTTAAACATCTGTTGTGCCTAATTTGTAAATTAAACTGTATAATAGGTATGTGTGTAGAGGAAAAAACATAGCATATATAGGACTCAGTACTATCCACAGTTTCAGGCATCCATTGGAGGAGGGTCTTAAACTCTATCCCCTGGAGGTAAAAGGTACTACTGTATCTCTAATTCCTCACCTGCTATTGTCTCCTTAGCCTACCATGGCAAGCTTCTGTCTCTGCCATCCCCAAAATTACTCTTGTTGAGGCTATGTTGTAAAATCTGAGAATTCTTCTCATTTTAATCTCTCAGCTGCATTCAACCCTGTTGACCTCTGTCTCTTTCTGAAATACTTCTCTTGGCTTATGTGATGCCTGGTTTCTTTTCTACTTTATTGTCCGCTGGTATTGCTAATAAACTCCTTTTACCTGATGTCTAAACGTTGGAATAGCAGGGGGCTCTCAGTTCTGCATCCTTTTATCTTTTCCATCTATAGTCTTTCCTTGGTTGATCTTATCTAACCTTTTAATTCTAAAAACTGTCAGTATGAAGGTATCCAAATTTTATCAACAGCTTTGACCTTTCCTTTGAGCTCTCGACCCATGTGTCTCCACTTGGTTGCCCTGCGCACTCTCCTATCTCTTCCTCCCCTTGCTTTTGCCATCTCAGGAAATGTATAGTAACCATCAGCCCATTTTCTTAGGCCAAAACCTGGGAGTTCTCAATTGCTCTCTTTCCTTCAGACCTTGATATAACTCATCAACAGACCCTCTTGCCTGTTTCCAAACATTTCTCCAAAGTTGTCTGCTTATCTCAGTCTTACAGTTTTATAGAATGGCCTCCTAACCATTAGAGATAGCAGGAGAAGGAAGTAGTTGGGGAAAGTAGACAGTTTAATCTAATATTTCTTCAGTGGGATAATCATGCATGTTTGGTAAAAAGTGACACACAACTGAATTACAGTCATTGAATAGTTACTTATTTAAAGCCTACTATATAACATGCACCTCCAGGTCTCCCAATATGTCTGCTTCGTACATGACTTTTTAATGTGCTTTTCTCTATATTGCAAGTGTCACTGCTTGCCTCCTAACTGGTCTTCCTGCTTCTCTTCTCCACTGTATTCATTCTCCATGCATGATCCAACACAGTAGTTTTGAAGCAATCACCTCATGTCACTCCTGTGCTTTCAAAATCCTAGTGGCTCCCAACATATTTCAAATAAAATCCAAACTTCTTACCAAGACTTGTAAAGATTCAAATGAGATATAGTCCCTGACTATCTGACTTAATCCTACAATACCAAGCTTACCGCCAATTCCATGTGCTTTCTCTGTCATGAATACTTTTCTTTCAGGTCTTTAAATGGTTAGTTTTTTTTTTTTTTTTCAATTGTTTAGCCAAGTGCAGGCCCTCAAAAAAGCCTTATTCATAGCTCCTGGTATAATAATGATCCACATTCTGCAAGATTAACCTTTGTTTTGTTTTGTTATGTTACAGCAGTTGTGATGATTTAAATTTGTGTTGTTTGTTTCAGTATCCTCTTTTACCGTTCTCCCCCACGGTGTAAGTTCTGTTAGAGCATGCACCATGTCTCACTCATTCATTGTTTTATGCCTGGTACCTTAGAATCATGCCTGGTATATAATATTCCTTAAATAAATAATTGTTGAATGGCTGCCATTCAGCGATATGTCACTTTTTAACAGTCATGCTTGGTTATTTCATCATGGAAGACTAGATTAAATTAAGGTGTCTAGTTTTTTCCTACCTTCTCCTGCTGCACTTCTTGAAATATATGTACTGTGCGAACCCTCTGGTTTTTAAAACAGCAACTCTTATACTCCTATAAAGAATTTAACCTAGTACTTAAATGTGACCTTAGGATTTGTGTACATCTTCATTATTAGATCACTTTTGCTACTTCCTTTTGGTTTGGGTTTCTTTTCCAGTCTCTGAATTTCTTCCACCGTTCAATTATGAGACACTAGTTGTAATTTTTAAATAGAGTTAAAAGTCAAACTGAGTTATATAATGTCCATTATCTGCATATACTGATGGTCTCTAAAGCAACTTTTTAGACATATACCTTATGCTGATTGAGACTTGCTGGTCTGAAGATGCAGTGGATATAATTTGGTGATGTGTATCCATATTCTTTTTAGAAGTAGGTTATTTGGTGCAGTATTGTGATAATATTCATGTTGCCAGAGCCCATTTACTTCCTCACAGTTTCAGTTTATTTTTTAGGATGGTGTACTAGAAGAGCATTTACGAATGTATCTTCACTGTTGTTTGACACTTTGTGATTTCTGGGAGCCAAACATCACAATTGTCACCGTTCTCTGGGAATATTATAGTAAGAATCTGGTGAGTAAATAGGATATGAATTTGTTCCAGGAATTTGAAGAATTTGTACATATTTCAAGAATGTTTTTTATGGCTTAATTATGAATAGTTCAGGGTTAATCTTTAAGGGTTAATTTTTCAAAATAGAATAGCTCAAGAATAAATTTATCTTTCACAAACATATGTGTTTTCTAGTAATTATGGATTGCTTACAGCCATTGAACAGTTACTGCTGTCCTGAATAAGACACAGCCTTGGATTTGAGCATATGCTGTTTGGGCATATATTGTATACAAAAATTCTAATGCTCTGGAATGCCAGAAAAGGGAGTATATGACCGTGTATAGACTTTTGGAAGACTTTATGAGGTCATAATTTTTTAACTTGACCTGGGAAATAAGTGGAATTATTCAAATACAGAAGGAAAATGCATCCAGACAGAAAGTATGGACAAATGTATGGAGACATGAAAAAAAAAAAACCAGTATCTATTTCTACCATGTTAGAGTTCTGAGTGCTAGGTGTCAGATGACTATGGAGAGAGACAGGAAATAAGGAAAACAGAAAGTAAACTTGGGCTAGATTATTAAGAGATGAATATAATATCCAGTTCAATTGTGATTTATTTAGGAGACATTAGAGAGCAAGAACGTGACATATTTGGAATGTGTTTGATAATTTTTTCTGAAAAATTGAATAAATGAATTGGGTACAGATAAGTTGAAGGTCCAGCATAGTAGTATAACCAAATAATGCAGTGAGCAAGACCTAAAATAGGGATAATTGATTTAGAAAGAAGAGGAGAAATTTGGAAGATAAAAGTTTTAAAGGTAGAATTAAAGGATTTAGTTACCTGTAGTGTGTGGAGAGAAGATTTGGAATGTTTGGGTTTCTGGGTAAATAGTGAAACCCCTCACTCAGATAGAAAATGGAAATAGAAAATTTACAAGTAAATTACAACTTTGGTTCTGTACATAATGGAGCGTATTAAAAATGAGAAGAACTACCTTTCCCTGAAGTGTAATATCAGGTCGATTGGGAAATGGCAGAATCTAGTTCTGAGGCAGAATGTGTACAAGATGAGTCTAGATGAGTTTCTAATGGAAACTGACAACAGGAAGGCAGCACAGTGAGCTGGGGTCTTGTGAAGAGGACGCAGGGGCCAACCTGAAGGCGCTCCCGTTGCCCAGTGCCGGGTGCATTGAGCAGAAGAAGGAATACTGACTGCTGTGGATTAAAACATACCAAATATGTTTCAGTCCTTGAGTTTATGATGATTTAGAAACCTTGTTCTGAGTAAAGACCTTCATTCTGAAAACCATAAATAAAATAAAATATACACTGTTTTTTAGAGTAGCCCAAATTTCTGATTGAGCTAATTTAGAAGGATGACAGGATTAGAAAATCACTATTTTGTGTATCTGACAAAGTAGAATATCTGATCGGTGACCATCAACGGCTGCTAAAACTGTTAAATAAAAGGCTGGGACCTCAGTAAAGTGGATAGATCAGACCGACACAAAGTGATCAATCTTAACATCAAAAACAGTAACAGTCAGAACTATGTGCTTTTTCACTGATAGCCGTAGGAAGTACCCAGTACTACCAATGAAAGATTCTTAATAAAAAACTCAACCTGAATCTGATCAGATCTCTATGTATATACAGTTACCAATTTATAGAAAAAAATAGAGGCTGAAAAACATATTCAGTGACACTAGGGAGATGCAAGCAGCTGAGTCCAGAATATAGGAAATTCTACACAGTAAATGACTGGATAGAAAAATAAATGGTATGACGAAAGGTCGGGAAACTTACAGAATAAAAGAGCTTTAAATGCAGTAGCACCAAATGCAATGTATGGATCTTGTTTGTATCCTAATTTGGACAAGCCAACTGTTCAAAAGACATTTGAGCGGTAATCCGTGAATTTAAGTACTCCTTGATGTTCGGTGCTTTTATGGAATTTTTATTTTGGGAGGAGAGGTGGTGATGGCTGTGTAATTTTTGTGATTAAGATGAATCAGACCTTTAATGAACTCATTGGGATTTGCAGCTTTCCATTTTTATTTACTCAGAGACTTAACACTTGTTTTCTATCTTTTTGTGTGTGTGTGTGTGTACCTCTAGAATAGTTCTTTCAGTATTCCTTGGCTTCCTTTAAAAGGCCTTCCAAATACTACGTCGCCCTTGTCTATGCTAGAAATGGTGGAGACCTGTTGCTTCGATAAACAAGACTATGACCTGTATAAATCCAGAAGTAGTTACACCATTTTCCTTTGCATTTTGGCAAAAGTGGTTAAGAAAGCAATGAAGAACAGTGGTTTGCATCCTTGGAAACAAGTCAAAGGAAGGTGTGTGCCATAGTTTTCTTTGCTATGAGTGTTCACTTCTATCTTTGGAGAAGTGTTAATGTTTGTACTTTTTAAGTTCACTTGTGCTTGGAGGTTTTTATGGTTCACACATTTAAATGGATTTCTTAATGTAGGGCAGCAAAGTATGGAGCTTTTTTTAAATTTAAATTAATTAATACAGAGCTTTTTGAGCATGCCAATTTTTTGTAGTAAGGGAGAAAAGTAAAATCGATAACTTGTAGAAGGTTTTAATTTTTATTTATCTCATCAGTCCCAAAAATTGAAATTTTATATACTAAATGCAAGAATATTAGAGAACGGTAGTTTTTCTTACCAGAATTAATTATAATGTTATGTAAGTCATTGCATACATTTTGTTAGAAATTCCAGAAATAAAAAAACCATCTCCAAATCACATATTAGCAAATAATGGATTTGATCTGTAACTTTGTGTGTCCTCTGAGCCTAGCAGTCCCAAAACCCTGCATTCTTGGATGAAAACTGACTGGAGTAGAGTGAACCAAATAACTTGAATGTTTTCATTTGAGGAGTATGCTCAGTTTTAATTTCTAGTATGGTAAATAAACTTTTGTCACATTTTGTGTATTGTTTCCTTTTAAGAGTTTGCTTAATACATGGGTATGATCTTTGCCCTTCCTTGTCCTGCCCCCTCTGCCCGCCCTTTTTCTAGCCCCTTTGTGTGTACACTGCCATTTCCCCCTGGCTGCAAGGCTAGGAGTTCTGGCAGCAGAGTGCTTCTCACTCTGTGTAGGTGGACACTTCTCAAAAATCACAAAGTGAATTTCTATTTGATTCTCACAATGAATAAATCTTGCATGGTTATAGTGATACAGTTTGGCTTTTTTTAGCATATACTCTTTTAATGGTAGTTTCTTGTCAAACATCTAGTAATTATGTTGTTCAAACAGTAGTTTTTCTTTTAATGCATTTGCTTTCTGCTCTTGAACCTTAATCACTTTATGGAGTATGTAATTCCTAGAACTTTATTGCTAAAAGGGATCATTGGAATTCACTAAATAACAAGTCTGTTTAGTGGGAAATGCTTTATACCAAGTGATAGAGTGGGCATGGCGGAGGCGGATAATTAGACAGGTCTTTACTTTTGGGGGCTTATCAGCTCTGTCACTTACAAACATTTAACCAGTTAGGAACATTAATTGTTTTACCTTGAATAAGCTAATTATAGAAGCTATAAAATTTTTAGGTAGGATTCAAGATGATTTTCAATTCAAACCCCTTAATTGATAAAAAAAAAGTACAACTATTATAATTATATTAACTCATATTGACAAGAGATTTTTAAATGGCTGTGTCATTTTGACACTAACAATTTTTGTTTGAGAGTATGTAAAACATAATTTTTCTAGCACTGTGAATTGTCCTAGAGTGTGAGTATAGCAAGAGTAAGTTTTTTGTGAAGAGTAGAGGGAGAAAAAAGGTTAAGGACGATTGTTAGATTTCTGTAAAGCACATCAAATTGTACTTAAAAGATTACATATTCTTTCTTATTGGTCAATAAAATTTGAAAAAGAAATGTGATAGGGAACCAAAGGAAAGTCATGTACTCTATGCAAAGGACATTTCTACTGTCCTTTGGGGAGAGCCACTGAATGCTTTGATTCACTTACGGGTGACCTGCTACATCATTGAGAAATCTGAAGGTAGGGGGACCTTCATTAGTTTTCTGTTCATTTGTTTTCTAGGTGGATAAAGTGACATGGCAGCATTGTAATGAAGAATTAGCTAAAAATTTACAGTAATGAGACTCACAAACATTGAGTGAAATGTACCTTTAAATGATGGATTTTTATAAATGGATCAGTTTTATTAAAGCCATTTTTATGTTTTGCAGAATATATTCTAAATTCCATCAAAAAAGAATGGAAGAACTTACTATAGATGGTCTGCAGAATTTTTTCAACCTTTTTCTACTGTTAGCAGCTGTTGCAGAGATAGAAGATGTAACAAGTCATGTATTAGACCTCCTGCGTTTCCTTAAGCCTGCCTTAAAAGCATCAGATCTCCTTTGGAAGGGTCAGGCAGCCTTCCTCTTGATGTACACCCAGAAAAATCTGGACATTGGTGTTTTGGCTGAGAAATTTTCAGATGCTTTCCGGGAAAAAGCAAAGGAGTTCTTGGTATCTAAGAATGATGACACGGGACGGAGACAGGCTCTCTGGGCCCTCCTTTCCATCTACATTGATGGTGTTCAGGAAGTGTTTGAGACAAGCCACTGCTTGCATCCCTCCCATGAAACACTGCTTAATGATGGGTTTAGTATGCTTCTGCGAGCTTGTCAAGAGTCTGAACTTAGGACGGTGTTGCACTTTCTCCAAGCTCTGCTGGCCAGAATCAGGTATGTTTTCCAGTGATGTGCTAATTTATTCATTTGTTTTATATTATCAACTGTGTAGATTCTACATGAAAGTTTTCTTTCTGACATACTCATGAAATCCAAATGTAGAGTTGGTTTTTATTGCTACATTGGCATAAATCAGTAGTTTTCAAACTATTCTTTCCAACAGTAGTTCTTTAAAAAAAAAAAAAAACGTGTGCAAACGCATTGAACTAAACTCAGAGCAGCTGTGGCGCAGTCCCAGAGCTGTGCCTTTTCACCCCTCCTTTCCCCTCTGTTTCTCCTAAAGGAGTATTATTACCTAGAGGTATGTTCCTCTTGCTCTAAGCAAGACCATGAGGTCAAATCTCAAGTGGCTGTTACTGAAACATGTAATTTATGATTTTGGCCACACTGTACCATTTTAAAAAGTAAGTTTCTTTAAATGTTTTGCTGCAGAGTTGTAGCCTCAACTGCCTGAAATACTCCAGCTAAAACATTTTATTTGGAGATTAAGATAGGATGGTTCTATTTATAATACCAATCACCTATACAAAACTAACTGTTTTCAGATCCACTTAAATTATACAAATGTGCAAATGCACTCAGATCCAAACAATGTTGGATAAGCACAGTGGTAATGACAACGATTTTCTTTAGGGTCCTTTTTACATAATATGTTTACCTTTGAAGTACATGTTCTTAAGAATTTAGGTGCTACCACTCAGTGTAGTAAATCACTGTCTCTGAAAAGTTAGGTAAGAAAGTCATTTATAGAAACATGATTTTATTTTAAATTATGTATGAAGTTAATGAACAAACTGCTTTCCTCTTCCTGATACCACATTATAAAAATAGCACCTGGTTTTCAAAGGTACCAAGCTTGACAAGATTTACAAATTGTGGAAATTTATTACTAATTTATTTAGTGTTGGTCTGTGTGATCATACTAATTAATCTACAGGTTTTCATTTCTCGTTAAGTTTTATGGAACTTTACTATTTATCTTTTCTCACCAGTTCAAGTTCCAGAGGCTTAGCCAGAGTTCTGGATCAGGCAGTCATCCCCTTACCCACCAGTGTCAGCTGTATTGAAGCAGGAATCTGAGATTTTGGGATGGATGGATGGGTGAAAAGTAAATGAGCAGCCAGCTTTATTAGAAGAAGCTTTTACTAATTTTGGGTCTTCTTCACGAACTGTTTGTTTTTAGTTAGAGTTTGTTAGCAGATGTTATACTTTCCCAAGTGTCAAATTTCTTTTGTTTGTATAATTTTTAAATAAGTGGTAAGCTGTATTTCTCTGTTTTTCCAGGAGAAAATTAGAGAGTTCCATACTTCAATACTGTTAGTGATTTATTTATATTTTTCTGAGTATTCAGAACACGTAGGGAGAGGAGCTTACTAGTCTAAACCATTCTGGTGACGAGGAACTACAGCCCCGGAAAGATGCAGGGGCAGAGGAATAGAAAATGAAGCAGGGAATATGGGCATCTTGGGAGGAGGCAGTCATGGAAACCAGATGTCAGAATCAGTGTATCTCTCTGCCCTTTTCATTGAAGATGGACAAGTCCCTTTGAATCATCTTAACTATTGTATTCCTTCATCCGTAGGTTTTTTTTTAATTCGTATCCTGCAGATACTATTAATATGCTTTTTAAAGTTAGAAATTTGGAGAACTCTTTTTGTCATTAAAATTTTCTTTAAATTGCAAATATATTATCACTGGTAAAAAAGAAAAATGAAGTATAAGGTGACAAGTAAAAATTCCCCTTCCCTCCCTTCATTTCTTTATTCTCTAGTTCAGGGGTTCTCAACTAGAGGTGAGTTTGTCCTTTAGGAGACATTTGGCAGTATCTGAAGTTTTCAATTGCCACACCACAGGGTCCAGAGTTGCTACAAGTATCTGCTGTATCTAGTGGGTAGAATCAGAGATACTGCTCAACATCCTACAACGTGTGGGATGGCCCACACAATTCCTTGTGGGCCAGAATGATCTGGCCCAGCCTCTGGTGCTGAGGTTGAAAACATTGCTCCAGTTCTACTCCACAAAAGTAAAATTGTTTCTAGAGCCTTCCAGAGTTTTGCCCATTTATAGGCTCAAAATACAAAATGGATAATCTTTGTTGAGCAACTTTTTTTTTTCTTCACTATTTCCTCAATAGCTTTCCATGTTAGTGAGAAGACCTAATTCTTTTTAATGGCTGCTTTAGTGTCTTATTATATGGATGTACTAAATTTTATTGAACTAATCCCCAAGTAATGGATATTTATATTATTTAGTTTAAAAGAAAGAAGGAAGGAGGGAGGGAGGCAGAGAGGAGAACATGAGAAAAGGTCATTTAGGTATTCGATCATAGAGATGTGTTCCTAATTTCTTCACTCAAAATGTGGATCTTCATTGAAGATCTTTCCATAGACGTTCTTTTGGGTGTGCTATAATATTATTACTTTTAATATCATTAGAAAGTGTAAAAACATTTTCGATAGTTGTAAAGCATAGGCTTTTTTTTTATGTTAAGAACACAGCTAGATTTTTTGAATTTTGGTTCAGATAGGGAAGATGGGTTATATAGATTGATGATATTTATTCTGGGCTGCATCCCTGACAGGGGAAAGGATGAAATACTTTACCTTGGCAATCTCTTCTGTTTTCAAATTCAGGTGGGAATAAGGTACCAGTCCTTGCATAAATATGTGTGCAAGATGTATGAGTGTGTGTGTTGAACTGGGTAATAGTTTTATAACTGTATGACAGAGAAATTATAGGTGGGCAGGAACTAAGATCTCTGATTAAGGGAGAAGCGGCTCCCTCTAGGCTGTTAAGAAATAATAACTTCATATGCCACTTTCTGCTAACTGGAGCTGATGGCTCACCAGAGCATTCTTTATTGCTGATTAAGTAGCATTATGAAAATACCGACTTGGTTATGTTAACTAAATGCCTCCATGTGTAAAACTTCGAATGTCAAATAGTTTTAGCAGTCATCTTTAACATTTCACATTACCTTTCTGGAATCACATTTCTAGTTCTCACTTGCTATTACTTGAGGTTAATATAAAAATGCCAGTCTTTCATTGTAGAGTTAGGTGTAGCCAAAAGCTTTTCTTTAATTATATCCATTCATGCTGCTACAGTTAAGGGTCTGTCAGCATTTCCACGATAAACCTCCATTTTCAGAGTTTTATAACACAGCTATGAAAATTAGCTTTGGGCAAAAACTTGACATACAAGATCTCATGAGATTCTCCCTCCTCCCCATCCCCCTTTTTCATTTTTACTGAAGTAAGGGTGAGTGATTTCAAAATGCCTTTTGGCATCTGCAAATATCATTTGGAGTTTAAAAAGAAACAATAAATTTTCGAGCTTTGTACCTGTTTGTTCTACCACTTCAGGGAGGTTGCGGACTTATGAATTTAAGCCAAATGGATATTGATCAACTGACATCCTATTTCGTATTAAACAAGAGCCTACTTTCAAAGAAGTCTAACGGCAGTTGAAAGCTTACCTAAAATGTTAAATGTTGAGGCTAAGAAATAGTTCAAAAGGGATTACCTTTTTTTGATACTCTATGTGCTCCAGTGCAACTTCTTAGAAGATTAAAACTCTTTTTTCTGACTTCAAAAAATACATATATTTTTAAATCCCCTTTCTTCTTTTCCCTTGAGTCTAGAAGGTCATCTGTTTGTTATGTATTTGTTTTGACATTTGGGATGAGTGTTTGTGTGCGTATGCACGCAAAAGAACTGTTTATTATTTCTCTCAAATATTTTCAATGCTCAATAGTTCTAGTTTTTTTTAACCTTCGTTGTATGGTGTCGTTTATTCTAAACAATTTTTTTTTTCATCTTCAGTGAGAGAACTGGGGATTGACTAAGTAGGAAAGAGGTAGTAAAAGGAAATAGCCTCGTGAGGGTCTGCTGTATGCCAAATAATTTACATGATTTTCCAGGAAAATTAACGAGGATATCTTTGACAGCATGCATGTTTCCCCCCTTTGTTATTGGATGGACTGTTAGTATGAATGGGTTACAGCTTTCAATTATTAAAGAATAGTTTACTATAAAACAAACTGAAACTGGATATGATTTTTAAAGTAACTGAATCATGAGTTATTTGTATATAGCTTGCTCAGCATATCCCAGATTGCCGAAAGTGTCCGTTGAGCTACAGTTTTGTCATCATCTATAGCATATATATATGATACCATATATACATAGGGTATGTGATTTGATGCAGGTTTTTATTTGATACAAATTATGGGGTGATGTTTTAATAATTTGGGAGAGGGAGCATATAAGTATGCTCCATGGAGAAACATATTTTCATTTTTTACTGGAAAAGTCAAATAGTTATATCACTGACTAAGAGTGATCCATCTGCCAGTTTTGGTTGCTTCAGAAAACGAATGAGCATCCTAAGGGAATGTGTAGATCTTAGTATTTGGGGAACACATAAAACATAAAGTTTGTTTTTCATCATGAAATGTTTCATACATCTTTCAACTGAGATTTTACATATAAATTATGAGTATTTTGACCTTACTCTTCAGCAGGCTTGGATTTTGCAGCTCATGTTTACAATCACTTTTTTCTATTACAGACACTTATATTTGTGCAATAATATAATCAACTCATGCTTAGGGATATTCGTGCAGGGTTTTTTTATATTTTGCTAAAATATAGCTTATCAACTTAATATTTTATGTTAAAGAATTAACATTGGGTCAGTTATTTAGCAGGTAGGTCTGTTCCATAGATAAGAAATCTCCTTGCATAAGTGCAAAATGATTCTTTTAAGATATTGTAAGGGAAAACTACAGTGTCTAGACCTCAGCTTTATTGGTAAAATGAGGATGATAGCACATACCTCACTCGGTTATTTTGAGAATTTAGTGCAATAGTGAATATAGACTGGTTAGCACAGTGTCCAGAACACTAGTAACTATTCAATACATGCTAGATGTTGCTATTATTATCATTACTATTATATATATATTTTTAAATTAAATTTAATTAATTAAA